CTAATTCATTTGCATGACATTACGTCAATTGACCCAGTCACTCTTTCTAGTGTTAAAAACTCAAAACTATAACAACGCTGCTTCACAATGGCCTCTGGTGCGTGAGAGCCCACACTTATCCCTGTCACTTTCTTCTGGGGCCGTTGCTTTTCTCATGAAGAGATATGGGTTTACCTTCAAGACGTCCTTCTAAAGAAGTACGCCCAGCAGTACAATGGCATCAACGTGCAGCTGGGTCCCGCCTTCGACTATAACTACGATGGACTGTATGACATCCCGCATCAGATCAAAGAGTACGCTCTCCTGTGAACACACAAGCACACACAGACGTATGTGTTTATCAGTAAGGTGAGACCTCGAGCCGGCTGTGACATGTCTCTGCTTCCCCTTCAGATTCGTCCCTAACAGCTCCATACCCGTACCCACACATTACTTTATGGTTTTAACCAGCTGTGAAAACGTTTCACAGCCGGTGGACGGCTGCCATGAGGAAATGCAGGCCGTGGCCTTTCTGATACCCCACCGGGCGGAGCATGCGGAGGCCTGCATGGTCAGCTCCCCACGCCGCAAAGCATGCATGTGGTTAGTAATGGAAGCATGTGGTTAGTAACGGAAATCTGACTGACCCCATGTCTTCTGCCTTTGCCACACTGCAGGGTGGCCAGCCAGAGGCCCAGTGGGTCGAGGACTTACTTTGGTTTCACAAATCTCGGGTGAGGGATGTCGAGTTGATCACAGGACTGGATTTCTACCAGGGAAGCGGCAGACCAGTCACAGAACTGCTCCGGCTCAAGACTCGACCCACAGCTGCCATCTCAAGAATCACATCGGCGTGAATTCTTATTTCATTGTTAGAAAAACGGCAGTACTGTTCCCAGTTTTTAAACTTTATACCGCGATGCTCGTATACCATGATAGAGATAAAGCTGACATCAGCCGTTCCCTCGGCTGTTCCTACCCTCGAGATGTGACTGGAATTGGGTTCCGCTTGTGTATTTTCTACAGAGAAATGAGTATCTTCCTCTGGGCTGTTATACCATCAGTCACATTTGAAGCTGCAGCACATATTTAGACACCAAACATTTTCCAAGCCAGTGTAATTTGCTAATTTGCTTGTAAATTAATCAAACCCAAACTGGGCCATACGGGGTGAGTCCTGTCGGTCTGTTGTATGTGTTTTTTATTTTTATCAATCAAACACATATATACAAAAATACAACCACAAGCAGACATGAGCAGGCAGAGGAAGGGTTACAGACAGTGTATTGCTCAAAGTTAAAAGCAGCACATTAATTACAAATTAATTGCTAAAGGCCTTGAACAATGTTTAAGATAAATACATTTCAACTTTTTAAATAAAAAGTAAAAACATAGAGGCCTTTTTAAGCAACTTACATTTCTGAATATAGATTCTGGCTAAAAATTAACCACAAAATCCCCCCCCAAAAAAAGAACTTAATAGGGTTTTTAGGAATCCTAAAGTAAACACACTTTATGGTTAATGAAGCGTCTGGGGAGATTCTTTTCCCGACATAATTTGAAAAATCAATCCAAAAAACTTCTGAGTAATTACATTCCCAAAAAATGTGGTCAACAGTTTCAGTAAAACAGACCTATTGGGAGCAATGGGAAGACATACTGGGATGGTACAGATATATATGGCTTAAGGGGAACGGCTCTTATTTTTTATCGGTAAAGTTGCTGCTGATAAAAGATTTACTATAATTACATTAGAAGTATCCAAAACAGGTGGGGAGCAAGATGGGCCCTTAGTGCTGCACTGGAGCAGCATCCTGGAAGCATCTGGAATAGCATGAAAAACTGATTGCATATTCTTTTGATGGGACAGGAAAAGAACATTTATCCATAAAAATTTTATAAAAGAAAAGTTCACCATTTTCAAAAAGTTGTGATACTAATAGGATGCTTTTTTCAAACCAAGAACAGTAGAATAAAGTTTTGCAAAGGTTTGCATCTAACACCCTTATTATTCCATATGAAATACATATATGGTGAGATATCGTGATTGTACTTAAGAGACCCACAGGATAAAATTTGCTTATGAAAGTTTGCTAAAGCCAAAGGAAGCTTGGATGTATTATAATTACAATGAAGAAGAAAATTATATGAACCCCCCCAACAGAATTCAACAGGTAGTTAGGAATACAATTCCATGTAGAAAGGGGATTCTATAAAAACAATTTAATACACTTGATCTTGAATTGTTGAGCTAAGGGAAATCAATAGGACCGAATCTGCCTGAGGCTTGATCAGACAGCATGATACTTTTTAAATTAAATAAAATCTAGATTTCCAAACAATATTTACAATTAATCTGTCTAATCTACTCCAAACATCAGGTGGGACACCTAACATCATTGCAGGGTAGATTACGTGGGACAGAGCTTCAGTTTTTGAGAGTAGTAATCCTGCCAGAAATTGACAAGTTCTGCTGGAACCACGAGTTTTATTTTAAGTATTAAGTACACGAGGATCAAAATTTGCTGACGTCCTTTCATGATCTTTCCAAATCGCGCTTCCTCCTGTTGAAGATTTTACAGGAAAAGGTCTGCATTTCAAAATATTAAGAGATTTAAAAAAAAACTAACGGTATTTACAGCTATGGGAATTTACTCCTTATTTCTCAGAAATAGTGTTGTCATGCGCAAGCCGACTAATTAAAAAAGGGCAGATCTGCAATGCATATTCCTTCTGTGTTAGTACAATTGTGAGGTTAAGCTGCATTGGCAAAAGGAAAACAAATGGTGAAATGAGGGCACCATTGCCAAATACCTCTTTCTATATTGAATCTCTGTGTTGTACCATGTTGCAGCTTGATTTAGGCATTATTCCGATTATTTAGCGCCTGGGTGACATTAATAAAATTTTGCCCAAAGCCAAAGATGTGTAAAGCTCTGAAAACATATGGGTGTTTCATGATATCAAATGATTTGTGAAAATTAAGAAAAAAAAACTTCAATTGGTAAATATTTATCTTGGTATATAGTATATATTTTACCTTTATATGCATATAAAGCACTTAAGAAACCCTTCCAAATACGCTAAAACATCTAAAACAGCTCATACTACTATTATAGTAATTACAAAAATAGTAGGCCTACAAACTGTAATTTATTAAACAGAGAGGATTTGTGTGTGTTGTGGGTATACAGTACTATAAAGAAATCTTCAAGTAGGTTCTTAAAAAAGTTCATACAGTAAAAAACGGTCATATTTGAGGTTAACACTTAAAACTTAACTCTCATTCCATGGACGTGTTGCATACCAGAAGGGGTAACACCACATGATTACAGCCGCTGAAGCCGTTCATGTTTCATGAGCATCATAAGGTAGTGTCTGCGTTCGTTATTACAAAACAGGAACGTTGCTAAAGATTTGGGGCCTCATGAAGGCATATCATATTGGCCCCCCAGTCCAGACCAATCCAGTTACTTTCCAAATTTTTTAGAGCCCCTGTTACTCAAGGGAATTGTCCTCATTACCCACGCGTACTACCCCGCTTGTGATCACCAGTTTCCTGTTATTTCGCCTTGTCTTGTGTATTTCAGTCTGCATTCAACTCTGTTTCCCCAGGTCTGTCATTGACGTTTGTCTTGTGCTGCTCCCCGTTTAACCCAAATAAAACCCTGTCCTTTGGATTTCGTCTCCTGGATTTCCTGCCCCGCTCACGCATAGGACACAACACGTGAAAATAAATAGGATAATTACGACACAAATGATGTTGCGTGACTGAGATCTGTTGTGAAATTACCACCTGTCACATCCTGTGCCTTCCCACATTTGTTTAGTAAAATTTAGCATGAAAATTACCTAACATGAATGGGTCATCATTTGACAACTGGAAACAAAACCGGACGATCAGTGTGTGTGCATGTGCACGGTAACCAGGAAGCATGGCATGAAATTACACGTTTTTTTTAATGGTGTTATTTTGCATTGTTTCCAGAAGATGTTGGTAGGCTCCTATTGAATAATAAAATACTTCCGGAGCTGAGCATCAGTGTTCCTGCCGCTAGGGGGCCACGTCGCAGTATGTTTCAACTTTATAGTTGAAGTTAATAGAGCGCAAATTAAACACAAAGCCCTCTTTGGACTTTCACAAACATAAAAACGCTGCGTAGCATTGAGATGTTGTTTCATTCAGTTATGCACGTGTCTTAACTCCAGCCCATAAGCTTGCATTTATTTTAAATCGTTATTCCTGTTTTTGTATGTTTGTTGAAATTCGTTTCTAGCGGATAATAATAAAACGTTTGATACTGAATTAAATCCCTAAGATGTAATTAACTCGGTTTTACAGGATGCGTGATTCAAGCACATGTTTGGGTGGTGTATCATTGTGCTGGGGTGTTCCACAAAACAAAATTTCTCAATTAGCTGGATAACTGAAGCTGAAAGTCAAGAATGTCTAACTGGAGTGTTGCTTACCTAAGGCTAAACCCTTAAGCTGGGAGAAATCTTATTTTGTGGAACACCCCCTGCTTACTCTGAAAGGCATAAATCACGCAATAAAATAAAAATATGCGACGTTCTAATTAACTTCCCGGATGTTTAGTGGCTTGTATGTCATATAGAAAGATAGAAGGATTTTAGCACAGTCATAGCTCCCCCATGATAAAGTACTCGGAATTCCCAGACGACTTAAAAATGTTAACCCATTTAAAGTGTTTAAATGCCTGCTGTGGAGCGTTTCACTTTGGCTCGTGAGCATGTACCCCAGCTCCGCAAGCTTAATCGTCGCTGAATTAATTCTGCTTCGATTTTTTTCCTGTTGTCTTCCTTTCACACCTATATAATGCGGCAATTAGCTTCATACTCGGCCCCGTCACACCTGGAAATGATATGACATCGAACCAAACACCAAAATCAATCGAAGCTCGGCAAATTTTCAGTATTCACTGTAAATCCCGTTGTTCTGTTGAGTTGAGCTACTTTGTCGAGTTAGGCTACCGTAGTGCTAATCGATATCCCTAACCCTAACTCTTGCCCTAATCCTAACCCTAACCACCCAAAAACCCCTAAAACCCTTACCCTAACACAACCCAAACCCCTACAACCTAACCCTAACCCCCAAATGGTGGAACTGCACATGTGCAAAAAGGCTTCATAGTACGTCTCGATAGATAGCTCAACTCGTCAGAACACCGTCCATACAGCTCAGGTAACTGGATCGATTACGTCAAGGGAGACAATCCGTGGCAAGGGGCAGTTTTGAGCACAACACCAGCGCAGAATATCGGGATCAGATCGGGCGATACCAACCTTGGTACTGGATAAGACCGAGAACAAAAATCAGTGTTACACCATGTCCTCCTCTGGACGATGGGGAAACCCGCGTGAAAAACGGACAAAAAAGTGTCTGGTTTGTTATTATAATTAATTTACTGTTTATTCTTAAGGTTAAACCCCTGCATTTGTTGACATCTTACTGTTAATCACCGTAGTCCACATTGTGAGCTCTGAAGGATTTCCTTCTTTTGAGTAATATATATTTTTTTGGTAACACTTTACTTGACTGGACACGAATAAGGTAGTATTATGTTATTACTTTAATGCATTAACTAAACACCAACTAAGTCTTAGGTACATACAAATCTCATGTTCCTTCATCATTAATGAATCGTGACGTCTTTTATCTCAAGCAATTAGTATATTTGTTATTATATCTGTTAATTCTTTAATCTTTTGTGAACTACTGAAGGAACTACTGAAGGAACAAATAATGAATAGGCCTAATGCAAGTGAAATAATGATCTCATGTTTGTTTAATGAATGATGATGCATATCTTTTATCTCAAGTGGCTACGACATTTATTTACAATTTGTACTTAACTAGTAACTGAGTAATTATTACTAAGGGCTTGTTCCCACTGCGCATTGCCTTGCGCTTTGCATCAACGCACACATTCTGTGATTTGCTAGAACATTATATATTTCACAGAAAGCAATTTATGATGATTCCACTAGTACGCTGCGTTGCACTGGATTTTGAAAATGCACTGTTGCACATATTTCTCTGTGCTACGCACAAACATTAGGGACAACCATGCACAATCATGCTAATACGACGCAACATTAAAAATCTATAAACACGTACAAGAACATGGACAAATGTGAGATGAAAACGCAAAAACAGGTTAGGTTGCAGCGCCCAGCACACGGTAGAGACACAGTACCGAAGGAGTCCAGTCTTCATTTCAGCTCACTGGATATTGTCCATGTCTCACAGCCATACAGTAAGACAGGCAGCTGGAGGGTCAACTTTAAACAACTGCTCAATGTAGCCAGCCCAGCGGGTCACAACTGCAGTGTCATCTGTAAGGACTGTTCCATCACTGTTCCACCCACTCTGACTGCAAGTCTCCGAGGAACAGATTCAGATGTGCGTAATGCTTAGATTCCTCTGTAAGCAGGACGTGGGTCACTAGTCCCCAGATGATGTGTCACCTGCTCACACATTCATCTAACAAACTCCTTATCTGCCATCAGAGCCCTCACATCCGTCCTTTGTTCTTGGTAGGAGTTGCCACCAAGTTCTGCGCTGCGAGTCCTCTCGATAATATCCAGGATGCCCTGCAAGACAAAACACCACCTTCTGGGAACACTGACAACACCAACACAACCACAACCTTCAGGGTCTTATCACAGAAGGTCTCCCACATCACATTAGAGTCAGCAATTGCACACAAGGTTGCAAGTTCCTCACACAAACTGCATGCAGATTGATCAGAAACAGCTTGATTTTGCAGTCTGGCCAAGTCCAGCTTCATTCTCCTACCATGTGGTAGGACTACTGGATCTAAACCAGGGGTGTGAAACTGCAGTCCTGGGGGGCCGGAGCCCTGTGTAGCTTAGTTCTTTCCCTGTTCCACCACAAATGATTCAGCTCAACTGCTATGTGGTAATTAGCACAAGAAGTTGAATCAGGTGTGTTAAACGAGGGGAAACCCAAAATTGTGCAGCGCTCCGGCCCCCCAGGACTGGAGTCTGACACCTGTGATCTAAACTGAATCCTCAGAATAGCAACAAGAAGTCTGTGGTCAGAATTCGCAAACTGGGCACTTCTGTAGACCTCCGGCGTCGGCCCACAAGGACGTGATCGATCTCCTTCAGCGCACCACCAGCATTGGAGTACCAAGTCCAGTGATGCGGCCCAGGGCGTAGGAACCAGGATCCAGTGACCCACAGCCCCTGACCTTTTGCAAAGTCAAGGAACATGGAGCCACTCTCACCCCGGTCTCCAGACCCATGGGGACCGACACAATCCTCATAGGCAGCCCTGTCAGTGTGAGTAGTCGCATTGAAGTCAGCCATGTCCTGAGGAGTATCACCTCGTGGGCACCCATCAACCACCGAGCGAAGTTGTGAGTAAAATGTCTCCCTGAATCACTCACCGCGGTTAGAGGCACCCAAGGAGAGCCTTAGTCTGAGTCTCATAATATGCTTGTTGAAAGGAGTGACATCAGACACGATTGGGAGGATCCACTTTAGCAACAGCTACTCCCTGAGCATGGTAACCACCAGACTGACCCACCTACAGAGATCTGGCTACTCCCCGGTCTGCATACCTCAGGGGGTGGTGCCATAGAAATGCAGAGTTTATGAAGCCCCTCCGACAGCAGAGAAAGAAGGTCAGAGAGACAAGATGTTCCACCCACGCACTGTTCCGGATGGGCTGCCTCAAACTGGGACCCAAGTGCCGCCATGCAGCAGGAGACCTCAGCACCACAGCAGCCCTGATCCCCAACATGCCTGACCCTGTTAGCTCTCCAATGGTTTCGTCTCTCCTGGGGATGAGGCTCCCGAAGGCTTTCCCCCATCCTCTTCATGATGGGTGCAGCGTTCCTGTGGGCGTCTGCAGCAGAGCTACTCCCGTGGAGAGCAGATGGGTATCGTGCCTGTTTATACCGAGCTGTTATAAGTTGTTAAATGGTGTCTGGATTCCTAACCCTAATTTGGCAACTTAGGGTGATACAACAGGCTGTTGGAAAGTAGGAAATATGCTCCTTTCCACTTGCAAGTTGGACACATGAGAAAAGAAAAAAAAAACGCAGTACAATTGCGTTACGCTTTTCATTGTGTTTTTTTGGCTCCCCTAGAGGGAACATACCCTAATTACTTCTTTCCCCACAAGTAAAGTGTTACCTTTTTTATTTTAAAAATGGGTGCACTGCCTTCTTGGAACATGCTGATCTAGAACAATTTTGGTTTATCTTTCCAAGAATTACAGGGAGTTCTCCATTATGTGATTAAGTGTGTATTGCCCCAGACACCTCTAGATGGGTTTTCCCCATCTTCAAAATATTTACACAGTTCACTTAGTTAATGGCAGGATGTACCTCTGCCATGTGGTCCGGGTTCCCCCCGCAAAACCCTGATATGTGGTCAGATAATTGATGGCTTGGTTAATGATTACCTCTATTGTATGGACATGCCCAACATTTGAATGATGCTGTGTTACAACCACCTGCCCTGGGTTAGATTTTTAGACACAGCCACCTATTCTAACTGTGATCTACTGCACAGTTCTGATTTGTTTCTTTGTATATTTGTGCATAGAGGGGATGTAAGTATCGGGCTTGTTTCTTCACAGAAACATGTCCTACCGAACTAGATGTACAGCTTCTTCATCGCAATGCCAGATCTGTCCTCGTGACATTCCAGAGGCCATGTAATCTCGTTATCCTGTCACTCACCTCACGGTGGCCATTGGCTGTGCTCCACCAGCGGAACAGGAGGCCAACCCCATTTGAAATTATTCCTCCCTCCCCTAAACACGCCACAATCATGCTGTTTTTTTCACCTTTTTTTACGCTCCAGAAAACACAGAGAGGAAGTTCCCCCCCTGTATTTAACGGTGTCTAGCACTGTCTGTGCAGTGGATTAATTTGTATTTGCATGTTTATCTCAAGTCCAAAGATCTAGATGTTCTGGGATGCATTTTTTTCATCATGATGCAGCCCTTAACAGGATATGGAACTGGTCGTTGACAGAAAAGAGATCCCCTGTGTGTAATTAGGCTTTAGGAACACAAGTCAGTCAAAGCATGCTGCATTAAACCAGCTGTAAGAACTGCAATAACGGCCGCTGAGATGAAACTGCATCTCTTTCTCCCCCAGGTGAATGGGGATTACAAGTGTCACCCGGTTTTAGGGAAACCTACGTTGCGACTGATCATGAAACCGACTGTGGTTCCTCAAAAACTGCCTTTAATTGAAATTAGGTCTTTAAAATATGAGACAACTTTATTAATCCCAAAAAGAGCAGTTCATTTGCAGCTTACTCTGGCCATACACACAACTTCAAAACTCACAAAGTAGTTATGTCAAATACAATAGGTCAACATACATGGGTCAGTACAAGGGAAATAAATAATCTAAAGAAATAATAAGCAAGTTTAAAAGGAATTTAAAAAAAGAGTTTTTAAAAGGAAAAAAAAATCATCCAGATAAGACCAAAGGCACTTTGCTGTTTGGAAAGCTGTGCTTGTCAGGGGAATTATGGGAATTCTGTACTCTGAATCCTTCTGATAGAAGTGTCATATTGTGTTCAGGATGAAACCACTGAATGGTGATCCCTGAATGTGGGCTCAAAGCAATCATGATGTCTGTTTTTCCTTGGGCTTCAAGAGTAAAATGTGTCTCCAAGCAAGAATCTATACCAGAGCATTGTGAAATGCAGTGTAAGATGTGCTTGCCCATTCAGGGACCTGTTAATGTCACAAGGATGAGGGAAGAATCTCCGGGGTCATTAGCTCAGATGCAGCCTGCACAGGATGCCGTTTCATGACTGGATACTCACCCCAATCCCACCCTGGTCCACAAGCAACTCCGGCTGTTCATAAATGACATCTAATGGAGTTTCGATTTAATCACCTAGTTAAATTCACCAAAACAAAGATGGAAATCTAGGGAGAGTTTTTACCAGACAAAAACTGTATTTAATGTGTTGGAGAAACGTGGTGTTCAGAATATTTATATCCTCCTATCAAGCCCAGACTACAATTCCCTGTAAGTGTGCTGGAAGTGAACACACTTTCCATAGGCAGATATGTGAGAAAGTAACAAGAATTAATCCAAACTCAGTTTATGCTGAAAACTAATGACAGTCTAATACTTGTATAACCTAACTTTTTATGTTCCTCTTAAAGCCTCTTGTCCTGTTACCTTTAATATACCAGAGCCAATAAACAATTAATAGTTTCTATTGAAAGACGGATGATGTCATTTGTTTTGATTACCACTGTAATTCTTTATAATTTATTACGCACTCTTTCGGTGAAACTCAGGTATAAAATTCCCTGAGCTTCAGAGTCTCCGACAGCTGCTCAAAGTACCCTACTTGCTGTTCGGGAACAAACAAAGAGTAAGTTAGATTTGTTCTCCTCCAGTTCTTCCCATTCACACTTCAACTGCTGGTTTTATCTCCAAAACATTGGTCTCCGTGGAGACTCAAGATAGACCTGGGCGTTATTCCATGAAACAGGATTAATGGAAAGTCTGACTTATTTCGACAAGTCTTGCTCATTTGAGTGGGAGTTCCGTTCCAACAACTTATCTTAAATGAATCCCCGCTGAGTTACCATGGTAATATACACTAGTGAACAAGCCTGCTCCGGACCGGATTAACTGTCTTGCTTAATTAAGCATTGTCTCAAAGAACGTCTGACGTGTGAGATTGTTCTGTCAGACGAAATTCCGCGCTCTCACTACTCATGTCATGTTATAAATATAATAAAGCTTATAAAAATCACATCTTAGCAATCCAATGAATTGGAAAATAATTAAAATAAAAGCGTACCCATATTACAAAGGTTGAACATGAAATGCAAGGACTGAAATTGAAAAATTAAAATAATATGAACAGGAAGATATTTTTATATTTTGTTTAGTCACAGCCTACTTTGAAAGTTTATTAGTAAAAAGCAAAGACAAGATACGGTTAATTGTGCAGAACATTTCACACGGATGCGACTGAAAGTATATTATGGAGATCAAATAATACAGAATAACATTATACAGTAAGAATGACGCGTGAACTCAACCCAGAAGGTTCTCCTTTGGCTATGGGGATCGAACCAGGAACTTTCACGGTGTAAGGTGACAGCATAAACCACTGTACCACCGTACTGGGCACTTGTAGCATTTATGTAACTTATGCATTCATTGCCAAGCCAACTCCCTGGTTGTGTTTATGGCCACAGTATTGCCTTTTTTAGCAATTACATCTTTGTATTCTTCATACGGCTCCATCAGCAGCGTTTGTTCTGCCTTTAGTATGTGATAAAACCAATAGAATTGTGAAAAGAAATTATTTGTTGGTTATTTTACAAAGGTATGCTAAAATAGTATGGACAGATTTTTTTGGTACCCCTAAAGAGACTATTAAGCCTTGCATTATAGTCATGTTTCAAATTAAGTGTTTAATTAGTATCACAGGTGCCTTCAAGCTTTTCATCAGCCATTCAGCTACTGTATTGTTTGGTACCGTTGTGGGCATCACACTGAACATGGACCAGAGAAAGAAAAGGACAGAGCTGTCTGAGGAGCTCAGAATGAAGATTACAGATAACCATGTTAAAGGTAAAGGCTATAAGACCATCTCCAAGCAGCTTCATGTTCCTGTGACCACAGTTGCCAATATTATTAAAGAAGGTTAGGATTAGGGTTAGGGTTAGGCTTAGGGTTAGGATCAGGAGTGACATCATTTCCAGCTCCGACTTCCAACCTCTGAGGTAAATGGGATGCAGCATTATACTTCTGTGCAGAATCTACGCCGTTGTTACAGTGTAGCCGCGTACCTTACACCATCGCCTATGCTGTAGCCTGATGTACCGACAGGCATTAGGGCATTAAGGCATTAGGCTACTTCAAAAGGTATACAACTATGTAGCTAGCAATAGAGCAATAGTATAGGTTATACGCAGTATAAATCAGCTTTTGTTGCCTCTGTTGAAAAAAAATAGCCACATGAGTTAGGTTTTTCCAATTTATTTATTCAGCTGAATGTTGCTACACTATTTAGTCATCTATATGTACTGAAGACTTTCATGATCAGATCTAAACAAAAGGACACCATTGTTTACTGTGTTTACACAATGCTCCTGCAACTGTTCTAAACTGCATTTTCCGATGTGTGACATTTACAAGATGTATATTAATCTGAAATATTTACAGCCTCCACAAAACATGTGTTCATGATCAAAACAAATATATAAAAGAGTATCTGTTTACTATGGTGTGAGTTCATGAAATTGAAACAAATGTGTGATCATGCTCCAGTCAGTCAAAGTATGTCCCCTAACCCTAAGCCTAACCCTAGTCCCCATAGCGATCAGAGCCTTGCTCAGGGGGGCTCCATTCTGCTGGGGCTCGAACCAGTGACCTTCCAATCACAGCCACAGAACCCTTAATGCATTAGCTTTAAATAACACAAAGTTACATAATGTGTCATTAGTATAAGTAACTGAGAAGGAAGATTGTTAAAAATGGCGATATAGGGGGTACAAGAAGTCAGGATTTAGCAGTGAGTGAACAGAATTTCCAGCTCTACATGCAGGAGCACATAAATACCGAATTACATTTATATTTCATCTGTTAAGCAGCAGACTGGGAAGAACTAGTGATACAATGAGTTGCTGCACTGAACTTTCATATATGGTGCGGAAAGAGGCAGCTGTGTGTGTGTTCAGGGCTGATAACATCTGTCTATGCAGATAAACCTGGTGGAGCATTGATCCCGCAGCACACAAAGGCCCCATTCATGGGCAAAGACATCTGGAAACTCCCACAGTGTTCAAGCACCTGCAGAAGTCCGTGCCCTTTCGGCGTCATGGAGACAGAGACACTGGCATGACCATGTCACTCGGGTCCTGATGTAGAAACATTAATGTGATGCTGTTCGTCCAGAGTAAAAGTACCATCATAAAGCTAAAGATCATTTACTGATTAGCTGGCCTAATAATGATTGTGTTATTTTCAAGACATTTTTAAAACAATTTAAGCAAATTAAAGGTGTAAGCACTGATGGCTTCCATATTAGCACAAATGAACCATAGAGACTCTACTTTTTTTATGTTTTTTGTTAGTTTTAATACACAGTGTTGACATTGCATGTGGACTTTTAAACAACACAAAATGTTGTGTTTACAGTCCTCTGGTACAAGACCATGAGTTTCTGGTTAGCAGAGTTAAACTGTGAGCTCATCACCTTTGTCTCTGTCTGGATTGGGTAACTAGTATATGAGTTACTATTTTCTACCATGCTTTGTTTGATGGGCCAGTCTATTGACAAACTAACTTTTTCCAAGACTTTAAATTTTACTTCAAAGCAAGATCTTGTCTCTTGAGACACTGCATTCGGCTGACCTGACAGTGATTCCTTTGGCTGCTGGCGACTCTGAGAAGTTCCCCTTTTTCCAGATGGGACAGGCTTTTTCACACGGGCCCCCCCAGGGCTGCTGGATGTTCCATCTGTAATCCTGTCTTTCATTTTAGAAGTTCATCTGAGGTCTGGGCTTTGCATCCAGTTTCGCTTCCGACTCTGCAAAGCGTAGCTGATGGCTAAGCCCTTGTGTGTCACCTCTGTTCTGGATTGACAGGGCCTCTTGTGAAGGTGCTCCTCATATGGCGTGGACTCACCTTCTAAGGTGGAAAGGTTCCGGTCATGCCTACAAGCAGCTGAGCACAAAATATCTCTCTGTCTGTTATTTACTGGCAATAACAGAAACAAGTGAAGTCAGACCATCTGGACCTTCCATCTTCATCAGAGGTCTTGGTCAGGTTTCCAATCCACTGGTGACTGTCGAATGTTTCAGTATGAGCTTTGGCTACACCACAAGGCTGTGTGGTTTTCCTGACTGGCAGGTTTAAGTTGTATATTTCCCCCGTTTTTTTGGAAGAAAATTAAGCCAGTGTGACTATTCACGCCTGCACTAAAGTCTCTCGACTTTTCTGATGTGGGCTTTGCCGCACCCTCGGATTTGGACCCTAAGCCAGCCCGGGCCCCCAGCTGCTGCGTCAAAGACGCTGGATCCAGGCTTTCCCCGTATGTGTGGTTGCAGATGTGATGTCGACAGAAAACCCCGGATTATTATTGTTGTTGTTCTGCCAAACCCAATTTCAGAGTTCATTAAGATGTTTGTTTTAATGTGGTGGCTGCAGAACTACTCATAATTGTTTAATTTTAATATCAACTGAATTCCAGCATAATTATCACCAAAACATCAGTTTTTGGTTACTCTGACTAATGACAGGTTTTATGTAAAATCCAAGCAAACCTTTCCTGGTATTTGGAATATAGCAGATTGACTGTAAAAATTCTTAGTCACCTTCTTTTTAAGATTTGCACAGTGGATCAGGGAGCAGAGATGTTGCTCCAGATCTCCAGGGTGAATCCCGTCTCTGAGTGTTTTCTGTGATTGCTAAGATGATAGCGTTGAACAAGGACAGTTTATTAATAATTAAACAAATCCCTTTTAGGTCCCTGCAATGTTGACAGTCTGTAGCTGTCTTTGACATGGCCTGTGGTCTGTTTGATTTGAATCCAATGTACTGTTGCTGTCAGGAGGAAGTATGTCAGCAACGTAAGCAGATTTTCTAAAGATGCGAGGCAGGTGTGTGGATGCCGCTCGGTGTGTAAATCAATCCCACGTGACTCTTCTCCGATAACGTAAACCGCCGGTCGTGCTATCACACATGTGCTGGGGCATCATTAGCATCCACAGTGCTACGGCTAGTGGATTATACCACCAGGATGCAGCAATGGACTTGCAACACAGCTGTTTGTTTAAACAGAGATCTGTCCCATTCGTATCACTGGACCTGGTCCTTGACATTTTTGTCTCAAAAACCTGGAGCTGAAACTTTGTGGATGACATTTCTGGGGTAGGGTGGCTCTGGGGTAGCTGGCTCTGTTGTTGTAAGATTTGACTGCACCTGAACAAACAAGTCAGCCTTCTCTAGACTTATATGCAGTCAGAAGTCACTACATTGTTTTTATCTGGTAGTTTTATTGTACAATAAACCTCTGAGGGATCAGGTCTAATGGCAAATGTGCAACAATTATAGTTTGTACATCTGTGCCAGACAATGACACACACAGACTCATTAGTCTAGGTAAACACACAGGATGGGATGCTAGTCCATTTTGGGGCGCAAGGTGGGGAACACCCAGGACGGGAATGCCAGTCCATCATGGGTCACACATACAAACTCAAACCCCCAACCACCAAGAATCTTAGTACCTGAGGACATTTATATGGTTGAATCACAGAAACATTTGCAGTACCAGGGAAAATTCTGGATATACCGTGTGAAAATCATTTGTTTTAAGATAACAAGCGTAAGCATAACCAAGGTTATGTATTATCTTATAAACACGGAATGACGGAGTGCTGCAACAGATGAGCTGACCCTGACATTACTCCATGAGCTGCTTTGGGATTATTTAGATCAAACAGTAAGAGCAAGGTAGCCAATTTGTGCCCAGATCTTGTGGAAACTCCATCAGGACCGTTAAAGAAGCATTCTAGGTGGTTCCATTTGGAAGGTAATTCCAGCCTGCAACGCTGTCATCGAAGTAAAACGGGGCTACATTGAACAGTCTATAATTTCAGAAAGTTTTGAGATGTAGAACACTTCTCTTGATTGTTACAGTATTTAATGAATATTACTTCATTGCCTCGAGGCCTTGTACTATAAGGTGAATGACATAGCTGACATAGAGACAGATGCATTAAAAGCAGGTGTGGCAATGACCTTTGAGTGATACTGTATCTGTGTTTGTCATCAATGGCTAATTGTGAGCATCCGGTTCGCGTGGTAGATCACAGCAATCATTGAGCTGCAGTACATTCATGAGAAACACAAGATACCGGTTTTATAGTGAAGGACATACTTACAGAGAAGTTTAACGTGAAGCTCTTACTACTTCAGATGAGCTCCACATCCCTCTGTGCTCTTGTCCTGGATAAGTGGTGGAAAGATGGATAGATCTATGTTTTAAAATAATTGGACTTACAAAAACTGCTTGGCAGAACATGGAAAACATTCAAGAATTCAGTAAATAAACAATCAACAATGTAAACTTTTTATTTTTCAACCAACAAATGGCTTGATGGCAGGATGTCTTCCCACCTTTACTGGTAGCTTTGAGTGTTATAATTGGTGGAACCCCAAAAGGGGCGGGGCTAAGGATACATACGTCAGCAGCACCTTTAAATAGCCGTCGCCTATTTCACTCGTTTTGCTTTGAGTTTTACTGGGGTATGTAGGAGGCTGTGGGAGGCGAAAAGGACATACGTTGTAAATACTGTGGTTTTTGGGTTATTGGTCATGCCTTGGGCGTAATTAACATCCTGTTAAGTATTAGTTAAGAACTCCGTAGCCTAAAATTATTTTTTAAAGTGAAAACTTTATGCATCGATTTAAATTTTAAACAAAATGATCAAAATCAACATAAATCAGTTATAAATAGCTGTAGCAGTCTTTTACTGCTTTCTGGATGAACACAGGCTAGCTGTTGACCCGACACAGGAAGTGATTAGAGTACCGTGTCCCTGTGGCGGTTTCTATCACGTCCAAGGGAAAACAAGTCTACAGCCGGAAAATCCACATCAATCCATGTGATTGATTTACCTAGAAAAACCACAGAGGGACAGCAGAACCACAGAAACGCAGATACTGTAAACACCATTCATCTCCTGTTAGGCTTCAAACTCCCTGCAGTCTCACATAGCATGCATGCAGTTACATGTTAGTTTCTAGATGTGCAACACAAATGTTGCGGAATAAAATCTCTTCCCGCGGGTAATGTCTCATTATATTCTTTAAGTCTGTTATGACTACACCATAACCTAACAATTTAATCGGAAGAGACACGGATAACGACTGCGGGCCCTTGCCTTAACACCATCATGTCGGCCGTGCGGTTGCCGGGGCAAGCCCCCCTTCTGTGAACGTCCCGGTACTGGCTGTGTGGCCCTCACACCTGAGATGTCGGGGCTTTGGATTGGTGATCTGGCCTTGGGACACAGCTTGCTCTATGCTATTAGAGAAGCTAACTCATTTGCGATGACTCAACTCAGCTCAGAGCAGGGGATTATACATGATTGTGGCAGCATTAGCCAACTTCTGTATTTTGTCTTTTTTCAGGAGAGGATGAGGGACTGTCCAAAAGACTGATGATTTGGGAACTGCTTATAGAGAAAAAAAAAAGATACATAAAATGTCTCTTTATTTGGGATCAAACCACTTTTCTTTAGCTTTGCTTCTCTTTCTCAGTTGTTTATTCCTCAGATCTTCACATTTCAAAAGAATCCTTTAGTTCTCCTGCCATCTGAAGTAACAAGTCTATTGTTCTCTACATGAGTCATAATTAATGCTACTTAGAGATAATTGCATGGAAAATGTTTTTGCTCCCATCAACGTACTTAACACCAGGAAAATACACCACCTCACAATGGGTGAACAACTCCCTTTGGAATTTTTTTCAATGGAGAAACTCTAGGCATGTAATTTGATTTTTTCTGAATTATTTCTCCTAAAATCTGCCATTGGAGAAATACATTAATATATGTGGGACGGCATGCTATTGCACTGTTGCCTCAACCATCTGGGATCAGGGTTCGAGTCTCTGCCATGGCCCCATGTGTGGAGTTTGCATGTTCTCCCCATGTCATCATGAGGTTTTCCAAGGAAGTGTGACGAGTCCCTTAGACGTGATACAAACTGCCACAGTTAGTTGCACAGGGGAAATTGAATTTAAAAAATCTGTGACTGCAATTAAAAAAATAAAAATGACATTTGGTTTGGTTACTTATGGTTAAGGTTAGAGCTGGGTAGGTTTTCAGGTTGTCATTTTTGGGATTAGGGTTTTGCACATAGAAATGAACGCACGGTCCCCAAAGAGATATAGGTACAGGTCTGTGTGTATGTGTGAATTTGTACTTATTACAATGTGGGGACCCAATGTCCCCACAATGTGATAAAAATCTTTTTTGGCTCTGTGTGTATGTAAAATTTATTTCATAGCAGATTTTTTTTGTCCAGAGAATGGGAGGGTGGGGGGGGGGCTTGCTGGATCCGTTCTTTAAGATGGTATCACTGGGCCACGTGTCACTAAAGTATTTAAATGGATTTTACTTTGCGGCATTCACATGGTGAATAATCATATGAAAGAAACAAAACGGAGCACTCTAGAATACCAGTGATGACACCCGCTCCTCGCAATTAAGACGGGTCCCAGAATCGGGGCTCATGTGATGATCGGACCAGGCACACCCAGACATGACCCTCTCTCTGGGCTTTGAGATTGACGTTGAATGCAGGTGTCTGCTTTGCAGAGTTTGTGCCACTGGGCCAAGCGTGAGACAACATTAAACAGCTAATATCCAGCTATTGCAAATGGAGATCAAACGTTCCTCCATGTGGCTAAGAACCAGGGAGCACTGGGTACATTGTTCAATTCTCAATTCAGTTTCTCAAGATGTTTGACTATTGTACAGTCTTCAGATCTCAATACACTTTACTTTCAATGTATGTATAGCTGGTGTCTTGCCAAGGTCCATAATTGGGCTCCAAAGGCTTGCCTCTTTGAAAAGTTTTAATTCCCTGTTTCACTGACAGCTCTTTCTAGGCTAATCAGAAGCCAGTACTTTGGTTCCGTGTCCTGGTCCAAAATGAAATCCTACCTCCATACAGATAAACAGGTTTCTGTTTACCAGAACCTTGAGGGAGATCCGAGGTGAAAATGACAAATGACAAAAGAATGAGGAATGCGATTCGAAGCTGGGAAAGGGAAAATGAGAAATAGATGTTCCTCATGTGATTCCCGTTTGCCAACTGCGGTTCCGGCTGCCCCATTTAGAAAAAGGTGGCTTCACTACGTGCTCTTGGTCTGTGTGTTTCTGCAGGGGAAATATGTTGTTTGCCGTTTACAGAGTAGCCAACCTGCCTGAAGGTAGTAGGCAATAGATCGTAGGGAAGCCTCCGTTTTGAAGGTATGTCATGCAGTGCCAGATTAAGATTTTTGATATCAATTCAGTCTTTCATAATGAACATTTTGTAATAGGGGTCAGATGTGCAGGTCATGGGGGCCATCAGGGTGCAATGCAAGAATTTTGGCATACAAAATTTCCCTAGAAAATTTTTGTCCTCTTGATAAGGAGGTCATGTCCTCTGGCCTGTACATGTTCATTACTGCACTTTAAGAGTACAACTTTATTTGGGGAAACTTTAAGCTGTCACACGATTCTGGACATAAATTCAATTCAATTCAATTCAAAAAACTTTATTTGTCCCCGAGGGGCAATTTTAAAAAAAAGCAAAAAAATTTTCCTGATCCGCTCCTTCAAAACACCCCAAAAGTGGCTCAATAATATTCACACCTGGTGACTATGCAACTTCACTTTCATGTTCATCAAACCACTCTGTCACCAGTCTTGCTGTGTGTATTGGGGCATTACCATCCTGATACACGGCACCACCGTCAGAGTACAATGTTTGAAGCACTGGGTGAACATGGTCCTCCAGAATGCTTCGGTAGTCCTTGGCAGTGACGCCAAGATATTGCAGCCCAAACCAGTACTGATCCACCCCCATGCTGCACTCTGGGTACGCAACAGTTCGAGTGGTAAGCCTCCTTGGGGCTCCGCACTGTAACGCTCTCAGATGTGGGAAAGGCAGTAAAGGTGGAGTCATCAGAGAACAATACATGTTTCACATTGTCCACAGCCCAAGATTTGTGCTGCTGGCACTATTTTAAACTGATATTTGTTATTGGCCTGAGTGGTTTTAGTAGCCCAACCATGAATATTGGCCCTGTGGAGCTCCTGATGAACAGATTTGCTGGAAACAGGACAGTCGAGGTGCGCATTTAATTCTGGAGTGAGTTGGGCAAGCTGTGGTTTTATGTTTTTTGGATACAATCCGGGCTAGTGCCCGGACATCCCTGTCAGACAGCTTCCTCTTGTATCCACAATTACTCCTGTTGGATGTGGTCTGTCTTTCATAGGAGTATGCCGTCATTACCCTGCGGACACTGTGGCTCTCGATACACCACAAAGACTTGCTGTCATGGTCACAGATACACCAATGAGACACACACCCACAATTTGTCTTCTTTTGAACTCTGTCTTCGATTATGTCGTGTGGATTGCAATACTTTATGTACAGCTGTACCAAGGGCGTCATTATGCCTAAATTGATTTTAATCTCCCCCCCCCCCAAAAAAGTGTATTTATTGCCTTAAGTCAGCCCCCCCTATCCATTCATCTCTAACTATACCCCTGAGCTGGGCTATTGCCTTCCTACTCTGCTCTTACTAATCGAATGTGCAGTCAGTGAAGATTGGCCACCATAGGCATGAAACCTCATACACTATAAACCAGGTTTGTCAGTTTCATTGTCCAACTCCTGCAGTATATCCCAGGAGGCATGGGCGTAAATAACCGGGGGGGGGTGGTTGTGAAATAAATCAATAAATCAAACAAGCTAACACAACCCCCCCCGATAATCAAGTTTCCCTCGTAATGGGTGGAGACCTCAGCCCCCCCCCCAATGTTCCAGCCAACGTTACACCTTTGCCAAGAGGGCATTGAGCCATTTCATCTAGGTCTGTAAGATCTCTTAGTCAGTGCCTGAAACATCAACACACCTGTTGCGTGCTAATTGCCAACGACAAACCCCATATTTACAAAACCTGGGACACCCAGGCACATCTGAAAGCCCCCCAGGACTTGGCCCTGGACTGCATAGCAGTAAAATCTGCCGTGGGACTCAGTTGTCAGTGTGACTCTATGATGAAATTCCTACTGATTGATGAGTCAAACACCAGTTATGGTGTTACTTTCCCTAAAAGTATGACAAACCAGAAATGCCTCCAGGCCGCTGATTCAGCAGGAAATACCAAATAATTTGGAAAATTTATTTTCTCTTATCACTTGCACCATGATGGTGAGGAATGTGATGAATATGTCCTGTGAAATGTTTTAGCAAGAGGAAATCAGGTATCTATGGTGGATTGCATGCCTCGATAGGTACTCCCCTCTCAATCTCTCCTCTCTCTCCACAAAGACATGCATCTGCAGGTGATAAGCTTTACTCTCAATGCTGTGCATTGCGTTGTCCAATCACTTTGTAGGGAAATTTCAGCTCCCTAAAGTCAAAGTATAATATACTCGTGTAGTGGCTCCTCATACATCACAATAATCCAAGCATGTTTTTGTTCAAGGCATTGCGATGACGTTTAAGTCAGAAATAATTTTGCAGAGGATCACTTAATACTGCTATAACAAAGGTTTAATTTTTCTTTTGTTTATACCAGCAAATTCCCCACTTTGTTTCTCCCGCGATAGGCTACACGCAGGCTGTCCAAATAATAAACCCCGGTAATAATGCGGCAGGAATAAGAGAGAGAGAAAAAAAAACATTTGCAACTGAAATGCCATTAAGTGGGCTGGGCCCTGTCCTCTTCCCTTTTCCCTAACTATAAGTTCGGTATGGAAACGGGCTCGTTGAAACGGACATCAGTCAGGGGGAAATTCGTTTTGCTAATATGAGTTCGGCATCTGCCATGCAGCTACACATTGTGAGTACCTTTTCACTTCATTACACAGGCTGCAAATATTTAATTCATTACTATTTATGTTATATATTTGCATCTTTTAGCTAAGTTTCTGCACCACTAAGCGCGAGAGACACTTTGACTGATGCTTTAGGTGCAGAAACTCACACGCCCCTTCGGCCGGTCCCACTTCATCTTAACTTCACCTCAGTTTTTTCTGTCGTTTTAATGCAGCCTACATCGCAACAGTCATTTTTCATATTCACATCGGTGGTGTTAAGTTTATTGCGTTATATGCGTGATGTTAGCTTGCTAAAATGTTAAGTCAGATGTGCGTGTTTTTTTCCGTCTCTATCCTGCACGCCGTGTGTGTGAATGCCGCGATGTGCAGTATGTCGCAATAGGTATATTAATTTGCTGCGGGTCAATATCATTTTCGTCACTGATGAAAGAGAAGGAGGCTTTCCAGATGAACCTGGGAAAACGCACACAGGCTACGTCAAAGGCTACCTGTCCTGCGGAACTTGTTCCCAGATGAACCGTTGGATAACTGAAACCATTTCAATGAAAGCCCACACTATACTCATAAAGGAAGGGAATGTAAACAGAGCCTTACAATAACTTCCCCATGCGAATCAAGGCAGCGATGGGATGGGCGGCAGGAAGGGATGTAGAGTATAAGGCCAGTATTCTGTGCTGGCGGACCTCAGATATTCCTGCAAGCGTTTCTTGTGACTGACACCGCTCCAAGAAGCATGAAATTCATTCGCCACTTCACCGTAGATCTATTTTTGTTCCTGTTTAAAAATACCTCAGCAAAGCTGCTGATCTGTTTAAAATCCGGCTGTGAAAATTGAAGGAATTAATGAGCAGCATCATGGACAATGAAACGTGGCTCAGCACCTGCGCTTGGGCTGTGTTAAAGGGACAGCGCCTAATTAATAACACCGAAGTGACTTTTTGTGGTTGCATACTATATACTGCTTACTAAGATCAAGTATTAATCAGACTTTATGGTATGTTGATGTTTTAATGCTTATGTACAAGTACAGAGGGCATCTCTCAATGTAACAGTGACAGAAACCAAACACCTGTCTTTTGAGGGTAGGAGATAGTTCTGTTAGCTAACAGAGAGGGTATAATTAACTTTTCCACAGGACTGGAAGGATGCTGAAAAAAGGGGGATTTGTGTTCTCCCTTACATGGGTGGAGAAATCACTACCCCCCCCTCCCCAATACTAAATCCAAAGTTATGTCCTTGACTGGAATAATTTTTAAAATTTCAGTTTATATGGCTTAGAAAACCTGTTGCATTATTGTTAAGTGTACTATTCCCAGGAGATAAATCAAAATCCCCTTTACCATTCAGTGATTTCTATAGCCACTATTTTTGTCCACTTACTGTATTGTGGAGAAGCCTTCCTGGGATGGTTTGCACAGGTGACTGGACAGTGGGAAAAAGGCCGGCTTTTAGTCACGCTTTTGTTGCGCTGTTGTCTCTGTGCACACAGTTTAGGCATGAAAATCAAAGAAAAACAAACCTTCTTTTCCTCCGTGGGTTTGGACACAATGCTGAGTGCCGCCGGCGTATTGCATCACTACTGGATGTGCTAACACAGGGTGGCACGGCTCTTTGTGTGAAATGACACCGTCTGGATGGATAGTTACGTAAGGGCACAATTGCGATTTTTAGCAAGACTGGGGGACATCCATCATGCGAGAGTCCTGTCTGGCCCATGTTTGATGAAGGAACTGCTCATAGAAGCTCACCCCTCTGGGGTCGTATAGTCCCCATGGCCTACGGGGGGGGGGGCATTTTCATTATCTGTTTTCAGCTGCGTATGGTCCAGTGAGCCCTGCCACAATGTGCCATGAAAAATCCGAACCCCACCCCGCAGATGTTTCAAAACTAAATAAATAGCTAGTGAGCAGAATCAGTAGCTAACTTGCTGGTTAGCAGAACATGCTAATTCAGCATCACCTGTGTAGCCAACTTGGGCCCCCCATGCGAATGCATGGCTTGAGTGATGGTAAGCGGCGACATCCAGATGCTCCGACCCATTGGCTTGTCTCCCTCTGTCTTACAGCTATTCGCCACTTCCTTCGCCTGGGCCGCCAGCCACCAGCAGCCCCCCACGTACCACTTCCGTGACCCCGTGAGCCAGCAGGTGCTGGTATGCGAGCAGTGTCCCCCCGGCACGGCGGTGCGGAGCCACTGCAGACCGGACCGGCCCACGGAGTGTGCGCCGTGCCCGGACAGCCACTTCTCCGAACACTGGCATTGGGGCGACTCGTGCCGGCACTGCACGGCTGTCTGCAAGGAGCGCCAGCTGGTCGAGAGGGAGTGCAACGGCACGCATGACCGGCTCTGCAAATGTGTGCCAGGGCACCACCTAGAGGTGGAGTTCTGCGTGCGACACTCAGCCTGCCCCCCCGGGTCTGGGGTGGTCCTGCCTGGTAAGTGCAAAGGCTGGAGGTCATGCTGGCAGGTCGTTACTCTGCCAAAGGCAGCTCTTTTACAATCGACAACTTATTAAAAATAAGGGGCAAGGACATGATAATTATATGTGAAACTGTGTACATGCCAGAAGAGAGAGAGAGGTAAGGAGCATGCACTGATTACAGTGCGTAAGGAGCATGCGCTGATTACAGTGCGTAAGGAGCATGCGCTGATTACAGTGCGTAAGGAGCATGCGCTGATTACAGTGCATAAGGAGCATGCGCTGATTACAGTGCATAAGGAGCATGTGCTGATTACAGTGCATAAGGAGCCTGTGCTGATTACAGTGCATAAGGAGCATGCGCTGATTACAGTGCGTAAGGAGCGTGCACTGATTACAGTGCGTAAGGAGCGTGCGCTGATTACAGTGCGTAAGGACCATGCACTGATTACAGTGCGTTGCTGCACCCACCACACAACAAACCACCTCAGGGATGAGAACCTGAGTGCAGCCATGCAGTGGGTGATACCTCAGCACCGCACTAGTCCAAATGGACCAGTCTTAGTTTTTTCCAGTGGCTGGAGTGCCAATCCTGCCACCAGCCCCCAAGTTTTCCCTGTAAGTTGGAGGACCTCCATATAGGGCTGGATGTAGATTAATGTCATACCCAGGACCAAGCAATTGCAGGTTAAGGGCCTTGCTCAAGGGCACAACAGAGGAGGACATAACATTCACAGGATTCAAACCAGCAACCTTCCGATTGCTGGGACAGAGCCCTATCCTCGTAGCCACCACTCCGCCCCAAATAAGCTAATAATTTTTTTTTCCTGTATGTTGTGGGCAAATAGTCCCTCTGTTCTGAGGAGCAAGGCTACACTTTGATAGCCATTCAGTATTGCACTCTTGTGGTTCAGTACGATCCTCCACTTCTTCAATTCCCATAACCATGGGACAAGATAACATTGTAGGAGGGCAAAACCCATTTGGCTCTGCATATAAAACATGTACGAGTAATCATTACAGAAGCATAAATAGGCACTAACAGGAAGTGTCTTTGGGAGAGGGGGGTACCCCATCTTCCCACCGAGTCAGTGAACTGACTGCACAGGTCTTCGGGATGCATTCGTCCCATGGTCACTTCCTTTCTGATTTAGCTCACCAGGTTGTGGGGGCCTCTAGGTTCATCTAGAGCGCATGTGCAACTTGCTTCTACTATGACAGCATGGCTGCCCCTTTCTCAGCCAGGAGACAGTCAAGCAGTATTTGTTTTTTTGATTTGTCTCCCCACGATTTCCGCCATCTCGCGGTACAGATCAATCTGTTATTTCATTGCTAACCTTTCCCAGAATTCCGGTGAGTTTTTCGAATTGCCTCTAGTAGCACCATAACCTGGACAGAGAACAGAGAAGAACCTTTCTGTCATTCATATTCCTCATTTTATCCTGAGGTGTGGTTGTCCTTCCTTGGGGAAACAAGTGTGATGTCTTATGGCAGGAACAACGTAAGCTAGATAACGAGAACCTGACTAGTCTCTTGGTAGCCAGGGAAATGCCTCATGGACTCACACAAAGTATGTACTATTAAATGAAAAGAGAGGCCCATTCATATGTTGGCAGAGGCAGGAACTAGTAACTGAATGTGGAGGATTTGGACCTTTGGCGTCATTAAAGTCATACTGCAGAGCAAAAAGTCATGAACTTCTGGACAATTGATGCTATAGTTACCGTAGCTGTGACATACTGGGAAAAGTCCTGAACTTCTATAACTTCAATGGTAGTAGCCCACCATTTGGTAGTAGCCCACCATTTGGTGTTGCATCACCTAAACACTGTGTGGTGCTGAAGGCCACCGAGAGAAAATGGGTGCTGAGATCTTACAATAATAATTTGGAGAAATGGGAATATGGAACTTTGGAAGGCCCCTTTCTGCAGCTGTATGTTACAATGCAAACAGACTAAACGAGAAACAAGTTTTAGAGTGGTAGCATAATGATGTAACAACCATGAAGACATAATTCTTTTCTGTGTGAATGATAATGAGTGTGTATCAGTATATGTCAGGAGGACAGGTAACTAGCACTCCTTATGTAAGGTAGTGGTGTGTGTACTGGCCTGCTCCAGGACCAGTACTCCAAGCCTGTGGTGGTTCCAGTGACATAGAATAATCTGCGTTATCGTCAATAACTATTGTTGCCAGATCCACGTTGGTGGACCGTGGTGCATGCAGACCACAGTGTTGGTGGTCAGAGAAACTTGGGAAGGTCTCTTCCAGCAGGCTTCCGTAAACAGCACCCTACCACCTGGTTGTGGACTGTCTTGGTTCCTCTCTTTGTACTGCACTCATCTGTGAACAGAGAGACCTTCTGAGTTCAGGTGTGACAAAAAGACAGCACAGTGTTGTCTGTGAGGCAAGCATTCATTTGTACTCTGGTCAGTGGAGATTCAGTGTTTTCCATGATAACTTTGTGAGGGTTCAGTTGTGAGTTTAATGAGTACTGGCCATTTCAAATTTGCCTCTGCACAACAATTATGCTATATGCTATTTAAATATAAAATCTAAATATAGTTTGTTTTTTCAGTTCTCCATCTGGTCTCTCAGTTAGCCCAGCTGATTGTGTGTGATGCAGAAATGTATGTTTTACTTGAGTCCTCAGGCATGACACAGTTCCTCAGTTATTTGTCTAGTGAAATGAGTACCTCTGTCAATGTCAATGCTACCTGGATTCCCTAATCAGCACGCAAAATCGCTCAGTAGAATTTGTGCAACTGTTCTTACACGTTCCTTCCTGCAAGGAAAGTCTATCCGAACAGGTATCCATAGTCACTAATTCATACGCTGTATTTATATTCACAACATTTAGTTATTTGCGTAAAGTCAACCTGAATGTTTACAAAAGGTCCCCAATTAGAGAGTGGGCTTGAATTGGCTTTCTCACAAACTTCCATTGACACATTACACGGCTAGCTTACCTAAGCTGCCATTGTGAAAAATCATGGCACCGACTCCAAAAACCAGGGATTAGGGCATGAGGTTCATTCAAGTGGCCATCCTAGGAGCACCACAGACCTCTCCCAATCATTGGTTGGGTCTTTTGTGACGTTATCCATGTAACAGAGGGGGTCCTGACATTTGACAATCGGTAGAATAGGGGGCTACTGATTGGAAGTTAGGTGATTTGCAACTTAAATGGTGTGTTGGATAGGTTTGCCATAGTCATGGGTAACACTAAAAGTATTGCAGGAATTAATAGTAGTAGCTAATAAATAGTAATGATGTGTCCTGAGGTGAGGATAGATGCCCACGTGAGGCAAATAGCTCAGTTATTTGAGAAGAAATCTTGAAGGGCAGGGCATCTCTTTCAATGATGCTGGAAATTGTTGCATAAGCAGAGAGAAATTTGCTGTAAAGAGAGCATCTGGGGACCTTGCACTGGGGAGCTTGCACTGGGGAGCTTGCACTGGGGAGCTTGCACTGTGTAGCGGAGTATTGGAAAGGTAATACTGGGCCAAGATTAGCCATTATCAACTAGGGTACAAAAATGGGGTGTGCTATCTGCTAATGTTGAAGGAGAGAAGACAGGTCAAGAAATGAACAATGGGTTAAAGCTGCAGATTGAGAGACAGTGACTGTCAGGGAGGGACTGAGCAGGAGTGAAGAGGAGGAGTCAACATAGAATGCAGCGTCAGCAACTGCACGATGGGGGGGGGGGGGGGGTAAGAAGACAATTCGGCAGATTGAGCAAAGCCTTCTCATGAAATAAGAGCTGGAATGGTTTGTTCGTAAGGAGGTTTGCCAGTGTCTTGTCTGGCGAGATAAACAAGAGGTATGGTACAGTAAGAAGGACATAGTCAGATATCCATTACCCAGGAAATGTGCCCTGATTATGTGACCGCTTTCTAACAAAGCTGTCATTTTCCACCTTGAAACCTTGTCTTTGTTTTGGCTAAAGCAATAAGACTCACTCTGATATGCTGTAATGAGGGATGATCGGGAAATCAGGGGATTGCTTTAGAGCAGAGTCAGCTGGGAGTTAGCTTCAATAGATTAGAGAGGCAACTCCATGTCTGTCCGTGAGGAAGTCTGATCCGTGTATACTGTCTTCCCTGATAAGTGAAAGCCAAGAAGGTCAGAGAAGAAAGCAGAGCAAAAGTCAGGTACCGGAAAAGTGTATAGCAATCAACTAGCATAGAGGATAGATCGACTACTGGATGTGGGACTACTGGAAATGGTAAAACTATCCTAAGATGATAAAATCCTGTACAAAACTACAGGTGTTGGGGGGGGGGGGGTGTTAAACCTCAGTGCTTGTGCTCCAGAACGGAAAGTTGCCAGTTCAAGTCTTCACAGAATAGTCACATGTCCATCAGGCCCTTGAGCAAAGCCCTTGACCCCCAGTCGCAGGGAGGTTATGCATTGAGTAATTGTGTGAAAATCGAATTGCCCGAAAATCATGCAAGGTTAGACTTTTAATGAGGATTGTTTTGAGAAAGGCTTGAAAGGTATTACAATAATACGGTATAACACTGCGTTTTTGGTATACTGCAAAAGAATTGGGTATATAACAAATTTTTTACCGGGGTGTAATGTATGGACAGAATGTTGGTATGAAAGGAGTTCACAGTTACTGCGAAAGGCTAATGAAGTGCTGTAAGGTTGTGGGTTGTGAGAGGAGCAAGGAGGTGACCGTGCTGTCCGTGTAATACAGTGTCGTCATTCAGACAGCATCTAATTTTTGTTAGTTTTGGTAAAATTACATCAGAACTCAAGTCAATATACTATTTATGTGGAGGAGGCAAATATTTAAGACTTAAATAGATATTTAAAAAATATTTTCCAAATAAATAAATATTAATAAATCCTGTGCTGTCAGTAAGGTCACATTACTACAAAGTAATTACAACAAGAATAGCAGTGATAGTATAATGACTGTAATAATACTCAGGGCCATCGCATGGGTATGGGTATCCTGCCAGATCCAGGGAGCCCAGCCCTTTATAGGGGACCCAAATCTACTGTGGAGGGGCTTCCCTCTCGCTACAGTCTACCGAAGACCCCCCCTCCTCCATTTGACACATTCCATCGACCGTGGGACCAATATTTCTTCAGCTTAAAAGTTGAAAGTGTCAACCCATTTAAGCAGGGGACAAGCTTGTCCCTGCCAATAAGAATCCATGGCTCATTTCCATTGAACACCAGCATGTGGCAATTTAATTTAATTACTGAGTTGTATTTATGGCATCTTTCATAGCTGTTACATAGGGTGACATTTAAGGGTAGCTCTGTGCAGGGGGGCCGCTAGAGATTTTGTGCCCAACGAAAGCGTATCGTATTGGGCCCCCAACCCAGACCAGTCCAATTATGTTCCAAATTTCTTTTGAGTCTTCATCTGGAATTGTGCTAATTTTCCCTCCTTTTTGGTGCCTCTGGCTGTGTTTGTTTAGCTCCAGGTGATTATGAATTTGACATGTAATTGCATGATTTTGTGTTTTTTCCTGGGCACAGGTACAGAATTTCGGTTTCATTATGATGCATCTTAAAATGAACGTGGCTTCAAGGAAGACGAAATCCCCTGGATTTTATCAGTTGATAAAGCTGAGGAGATATGGGTTGTGTACCCAGTCAAACAACATGACCCCAGGCTACAAGCTTTCCTTGTTCAACTTGCTCATGGGAGTTTTACTTACACAAAAGTGTTCTGAGGGCAGAACGAAAAATAATTGGTTCAGAGACATAACCAAGACATCTAATTTGTTGGTCCCACATCCTCTAGCTGCTTGGACCCACCTCATCTACAATCTGAATGGTTATTTCTGCCCTCAGAACATTTTTGTGTAAGTAAAACTCCCATGAGCGTCTGGATTGCTACATATTTTTTTCAGGCACGATGAGACAACAGGCTTTGAAATACATCCCATTGTTTACAGAGAGATTAATTCTAAGCTTTATTTATTGTGGAAATCTGACATGAGTTGTGGAAACATCTTAAAAGAATGTAGACTTGAGTTGTGCAAGGAGACATCTGTTAGATTGTTATCGGGGAATGTTATACTGCTCACAGCAGAATGGACAAAGCAGAATGCATATAGCCTGCTTGCAAAGGTATTTACATTGTCAGGGACTGAAAGTTGCTCGTTTTGTATTGGGGTTTCCCTGGGTTTTGCAGTTTGAAGGGGAGTCGTATGTTTATGACATGAACCTTGAACTTTGAGTACTTTGATACTATAGCAAAGTGCCGATTAACTGATAAGGCAAGCTTAACGGCCACCATCGTCTAAGCGGCGCCAACTTACTGTAGCAAACTGGTGTCAGTCTCAGGACGGGGGCGACTGTGGCTTTACCTCTAATCTGACCAGTGTTACCATTGGCTGTGGTGTGAACTTCCCTGCTTGCCATAAGTTACCATACATTTCAGGTCATTATGATTGCTTGAGACTGGACTCATATGCGTCACAAACAGGACTCATGGTCTGGCTCTTGTAGACTGCATGTCAGTCTGGGAGAGAATCGCACGCTATGGTGTGGTCACCTCATCCACATGTAGCACATCACACATTGAAAAATACAGAGAAACATCTCCCATTCATAGCAGGTGAAGGGTGTAAAAGCCGGCCCAGTGACACATTCAACTAAATGCACAAAAGCATGAATGGCAGGATACAGCCGAGGTAACTGGGTTCATGTTTACATTAGCATGGTGTGCGTTGCACAAAGAGCAGAAATGTGGAACTGGCATAATGAGAGATTAAAATATCTACCAAATATCGACTGTAACTTTCAGTTGCACCATCGCAGTTGTATAAACGTGGCTGAAATAAATACGTATTTCTAGGAAAGGTAAGCATGCTGTGAGATGAATGTGGTGGCCGGGACAGGCTATGAAAGGTTATTAAAATAGATGCTTTTATGAGGGAGCTTCTATTCTATGGTCAGAATTCTTATAAAAAAAAAAGTGGTGATATTTGTTTTAAATGACTCCTTCTGCATTGTATAATCATGTAGCGACTGCAAGGTGTTGGGGAGGATGTATGTCTGCAAGTTACTTAATTACAATGGATTTTCCCCATGACGCTGACTAGCAGATGTCCCCATGACCTCTGTTCTGCTCTCCCATGTTGTCCCTCCTGATGCAGCTTTCATTCCTTGCTCATCTTTTATCATTTTGGGAAGTCCAAGGTTATGCTTTAGCCAGGATCAGTTTGTGTGTGCGTGTCACGCACCTGACTGAGCGTGCCCAGTGTGTCCATACTCGACAAATGAATCACCATGAATGTTGTGTTTGGTAACCAATCATTGTACGTAAATTTCTCCAGAAATCATGGTGGGGGCTGTAACCTTGAGACTTCCCCGCTTAGTTAATTACTTGCCAAAGAAAATACTGGAAGTTTCACTTCCTGCAGTTAAGGCCTTCGCTGTTACTGGGCTGCCTGCAATAAGAATGATGTCAGTTCGTGCCAATGAGACAATCAAATCAATCGTGAAAGAGGGAGAAGAAATCAAAACCTACATCCTCTTCCTGTTTTGTTAGGTTCGCCGGAGCGGAACACTCTTTGTGAGAAGTGTCCCAAGGGATATTTTTCCAGCGTGGCATCGGCAGTGGAGCCCTGCTTCCCGCACCGGGACTGCAGTGCCCTGGGGATGCGGGCACTGAGGGCCGGGACAGCGGCGCGGGATGCCATATGCGAGCGGGAGGACGAGTGCTTCCCGGGACACGCCATGTGCCATACAGGTAAGTACAATCTGGCTCAATGCCCTCTCCACCAATCATATCCTGAGGCTGATACTTCAGGGATTAATCACAGAGGAAAGCTCAGTCATTGGTCTCAGAAAAGGATGATGTCGCTGTGTGTCATCGAGTTGGTTTGTTGGTGCCCCGCTAACTCTTTATTCGTCACTCTCTCTATTCACATTCCTTTACACCAGGGGTCACCAACCTTTTTGAAACTGAGAGCTGCTTCATGGGTACTGAGCCATACGAAGGGCTACCAGTTTAAAACACCCTCCTAAACTTAACTAAACTTAACGTATAAAAAACATGTTTTAAATGCTTTTTTTTCAGATATTGTCATTTTCAAATCTATATAAATGCAAATATCTGCTTTTTTTCAGATATTGTCATTTTCAAATCTATATAAATGCAAATGTAACTAAAGAAGAATAGCAACAGGATAAAATAAAATTTTAGACGCTGCTCACTGGTGAGCTGTGCTATTTTTAGAACAGGTCCGCGGGCGACTCCTGTGGTCCTTGGGGGCACCCTGGTGCCCGCGGGCACCATGTTGGTGACCCCTGCTTTAATATTTGTGCTACTACTACATGCAGCTGTTAAGGCCCCCTCCTTTGTCCCTCTGCTCAGGCACACTGCTGTGTGAGGAGATCATCTTCCAGTTCCTGGGTTCGAAGCAGCTGTCTACGCTGCAGCTGGACTCCCTGTCAGACCAGCTGCCGGGCAGGAAGGTGGACCGGCGGAGCGTGGAGCGAATGATGAAGGCGTGCGGTGCCCAACAGGGGGTGCTGCTGTTGCTCAGGCTATGGAGGGAGCAGAACCGTGATCAGGAGAGGCTCTTTGGCATTATCGGAGGTTCGCGAACTGTGTCTCTACATTGTGGTGGTGGTGGGGAGGGGCAGCAATGGGGCCCCCTATTGGCCACAAGCAGTAACTACATTACATATCAAATGTCAAATAAACACAGTCCTTTTTTTTGGAGAGGCTGAAGCAGCATGCTAACCAGCTAGCTACAATCTTCTGACTCCACTGGCTAGCTACTTATTGAGATTCAAATTCTTTATTATCATTGTATGGAGTGCAATGAAATTTTAGCAGCAGTCCAGTTGGTGCATCCACACGAACAAGTAATATGAGCAATTTTGGATATGAGGCATCACACAGGACATAACAAATGATACCATAAACCTATTGTGGACCTGCAAACCATAAATAGGTGAGTACAGTGCAATAAATGCAATTACCAGTGCAGTTAATACAGACAAAGCTGCTGGATGTTGTGTAAAGTCAGCATAGTGACAAGAAATGACATATGGAGACTATTAGACGCAGGACATCGCACAAGACATGACATAATACGACGATAAGTTGGGGTAAGATGGTAAATTAGAATACTGCAGTGAGGTTATTGTGGGCTTCCTGGCCGGCTACATGATAGTGTTCATGGGGTAAAAGCTGCTGCTTAGTCTGTTCATCCATAACTTATTTAGCGTTTGGAGCATCTGAGGGAGGCAGGGGCCCCGTAACAACAAATCCATGGGGGTGTGAACAGCAACAAACTGGAAGCCGACACCGGCATTTACCATCACGCCCCCATCGCTCTAGCTTAGCCAGACCATCACACTTACCGGCAGGGATCTATCCCATTCTGACTCACGCTATATCACCGCAATGTTTAGCAGTCTGGCTGCAGGGCTTGCATGACATTTTTAAGGAATTATGGTGGTTAAGGACTGGGGTCTTCCATAGCCTCTCTTTGGTCTGGTTTTGGTCTAAATCATAGTTCAGATCCAGAGAGTAAAAGTCCAGACTGGGATTTTGTTTCAACCAACCAACCAATGAAACCATTGAGCATAAAGAGTCACAGTCACAGAGTACTCAACTGGTTGGTTGAAACAAAATTCCGGTCTGGACTTTTACTCTCTGGATCTGAATTACCCAACTCTGGTCTAAATATTTCCCAAATCATGGCATTCCTGCATCAAAAACACACAGTATTCAGATATTAAAGACATTAGAGACATGACAATACTCACCATACACCATGCTGGGGATTGACAGCTTAAGTAGGGGCTAAATTCTTGTCCCCATTCATAAGGGCTAATTTGAATGAGAATTCAGCTGTGGCAGTTGAGTAAAAGCCCAACAGGTGGCGCCATGGTAATTAAAATGGTCACAAAATTATAGTGCCAATGCACCTGCCTATTGTAAGTCTTTCTTGCTGGGGGATGGAGACACAGTAACAAATACTGGTATGAATCATGCTTCCAAATAAGTCTCATCCAGGTGCTGCATGCTCAAACCAGTCCACAGTTCTAGATAATTGCATATCAGTGCTAAATGCAATGGAGAGTGACATATTTTACCACATATTGCTTTTAATATTTCCATGTATTCTGGAGATGGGCAGGTGGGAAACATACCTGAAACCTCACATGCTAATTGCTCCACCTCTGACCACAGGTGTGAGCCGCTGTCAGAGGATGTTGTCAAGGTGTGCAAGCCCCGGCAACCTCACCCCGCAGGACCTGAGGAGCGTTGCAGACAGCCTGCCGGGAAATCGGGTGGAGGACAAGGACTTCCAGCACGTGATGCAATCATGCCGACCCCGGCAGCAGCTGCTGCAGATCCTGTACACATGGAGGATCCACAACGTGGAGCAGGATGTAGACAAGGCGCTGGGGCACAGCCTGCGCAGGCTGCGCAGCCGTGACGTTCCGCGGAACCTGCTCAAGTCACTCAAGAACGTCAGCAAGATCCTTAGTGGCTTCTTCACGGAGAAGATGTACGAGAAGCTTTTCTTCGACATGCTGAAGGTTAGCAAGAGCCTCACGTCCCAACCTAACGATGACTAGGCAGCAGACGGACGAACAGTCACTCGATGCAAGGCTGCGCAGTCTGCAAACGTGCCCCCCAGTTGGCAAATGGCAAATTCATTTGCATTGTCTTTTAGAAACTTGAATGAAGTGAGGATATCTCAGTGTATATTTGGACTGCAAAATAAATAAATTAATAAACAAACAAACATAACAACAATAAAAAATGCTCATAGTAAACATGCAATGTGGTATTACATTAATGTACATAAAACTGTAATTTATTTCATTTTTTATGGCGATGTTTCAAAAAATATATGTGGTATTAAGTTTTCGCTTAATGGCCACTGAAATACAAGAATCTTTTTTCCCAGTTCAGTTTTTTATTATTATTATTTATACTCGGACAGTGGTACAATTATGTCCGTTTTGTACAATAAACATACTGCACTCACTGGTTCCAGAATAATTTATTTGCACATAGCAAGTTATTTTTATTAAGCAAAATATCTGTAATTATCATTTACACAATTTCATTTTTAATTAGATAACTGTATATCAGCAACAACATAAATTTTGACAACTGATCAAATTAGTTACTATAGGCAGAGTTTATGACCCATGTATAACCAATCTGTATGTTTTGTAAGCATATAAATGACATTTTTATTTCAAAATAAAATTGCTTCATTGACTGGTTCTTTAGTAGTTTATGCCCGTGGAGTGTTTTGCAGTATTATTTATGTTGGGTCGTTAATAAAGGTACTTTTAATTACCTTTCATTATCAATCGGTGGGCTTCCACTCCCAGATCACTACATATGCTGCTTGTCAGTCCCCCCCCCCATCGCTTCTGTCTGACTGTCCACATAAACATGCGCATCACAGCCCCAACAATAATCATTATAATGATTATAATGCCTTACTGCATAATTAATATCCCCACTGACTTAGTCTGATTTCTCTGGGCTAAAGGCAAGAGAGTCACTTCATTTTAATGTAATTTTTGTTAGTTTTGGTAGCATAGTTCAGCAAAAATTATGCTGATGAGTGCGGAAATGGGCCATTTTTGAGGGAACGCTGCAACTGTCTTAGAGGAAAACAGACTTCTGTAATAGACACTTTTACATGTTAATAGATAAGAAATGCTTTAAAGACTTATTGATAATGGGGTCTGGGGGCCTGAGTGACAGGGGCCCTAAAAAATTGGAAAATAACTGGATTGGCCAGGACTGGGGGGCCCAAAATGATGTCAGAATCAGGTTTATTGGCTAAGTGTGTGTGTGACACACACAAGGAATTTGTTTCACACCAAGGAGATTGGTGTCTCTCCGGTACGACAGGTGTAGGTTGATGTTGCAGGTCAGATGTGTGTAAGGGTGATGGCTTGAGGGAAAAGACTGGTCCTGTGGTGAACAGTGTGGTCTGCAGACTTCTGAATCTTCTGCCAGAGTGGAGTTCAAAGAGACAGTGTCCAGTTGTCACTTGTTGTCACTGCCCCCTCCCCAGAACCTCCCCTGTAAAAAATAAACAAAAAGATAATGTATGCCAGGGCTGTCAAACTCCATTCCGGGGGAGGGGGGCATAGCCCTGTGTAGCTTAGTTCTTTCCCTGTTCCACCACAAATGATCAGCCCCTGAGCTAATCAGGACACCTAATCAGGTGTGATAATTGATGGAAAAACCAAATATGAGCAGGGCTCTGGCCCTCCACCAGTGACATATGCTAAGAAATCAGCCCTTTGCAAGACGAGATATGAGATGACGTGATTATTTAGGTTGCAACGCCCCGAAAGAAATGATTACGTGTGCAGTGCACACCAAGGAGTCACTGCAAGTGGTCGGAGGGACAGAGAGAGACACAGCCAGCGACAAGCATGGTGAGTCGTGCATTTCTGTCAGCCAAGGCTTCAGCCACTTCAGAGTTGTACGCAGCTGTGGGCAACTTAGAAACTTCTTTATTTGTTACTGCAGCAGCTGTGCCACCCAAACCTAACCTTGGTGACACTCCTCCTCTGGTTGGGGCACTATTGTGGGCTACTTGGCCTGCTCTGCTTTCTCTGCCGTCGCTCAGGGGACACCAGTGGATGCTTTAGGTGCCCCGGCTGCGCCCTAATTGCTTCCAGGTGCCATGACTGCGCCCTGCTCATCACCTGCCGTCCCATCGGCTTCTGCCTCCTTTCCAGCCATCCAGTCTGGCCTGCCTTGTCCCCTGGTGTCCCTCCGGCACCTGCCTCATTTCTTGATGACTTACTTGCACCCGCCTTGTGTCCTGATGACTTACCTGCACATGCCTCATCCCCTGGTGTCCCTCAGGCACCAGCCTTGTTTTCTGGTGTGCCTCCGGTGCCCGTCTCGCTTCCTAGTGTCCTGCCTGTGTCAATTTTGTTTCTGCGCCTGCCTTGGCTCCCTATGTCGCCTGGGTGGCCTCCTCATTGCCTCCAGCACCCCCTACTGGTTGCCCCCAGTCTGACACCTGACTCTCCGGCTGCTGCCATGTGCTTTGAAAGGCACCTTTAAATAAAATGTATTATTACAGTGGTACCTCAGAACTCAAAATTAATCCGTTCAGAACTTAATAAAAAGTTCGAGTTTTGATCGAATTTCCCCCATAAGAAATAATGGAAAACCAATTAATTGGTTCCCGGCCCCAAAAAATTACAACGAAATATGTTTTTTTTTTTTTTAGCATATAAACGCAAAATGAACCGGACAAAACAAGAAAAGCATATACTGTACTAAACACATCTAAGCACATTTATCAAAACGGTCATTTTTAAAGTAAGAAAATAATTGTATCCAAACAATGTGTAAAGTTAAAAAAAAAAAAAGCAATGTGTCATGCCCCGATCGTCCGCTCCTTCCGTGTGCCACGCCCCCTCTTTAACCCCGTGTGATCAGCTGTTTCTGGTTGTTGTCATCAGTCCTCTGTATTTCGCTGGCATTTCAGTTTTGTTTCCCCAGTCCGGTCATTGTATTGTCCGTCTGCCTTTTGCCTGCCTTACCTTTAATTGAACCCCGTATTCCCCGATACCCTGACGTTTGCGCCTTTGTCTCCATTTTGTCCCCGCTGGGCACGACAATATTATTATAATTAATTGTATTAATGGTTTGTTATTAATATTAAAATAATTCATAAGAAATCTTTATTTTTAAATGTATTTTAATAATAATTACTGTTACTGTCATTGTCTAAATGTATTTTTACTGTCTAAATATATGTATTCAGCTAGTATAAACATGCAGGATGCTATCACAGCGAATGCTAGGCTGAAACTGAAGACGTGCTGCGTGCCTCATTTCCCGGCGTGTACAAGATATCTTAGGTCGGTGTTCACGGTTTGACTTTTGAGATTCAGATCGAGTTCCAGGTATTTTTGTTTCGAATTGGTTGGTTCGACTTTTAAGAAATTCGAATTCTAATGAGTTCGAGAACTGAGATACCACTGTATTATTATTAAATTGTGCCGGATGCAGTTTTGGTCACACTGAATAAAGTAATATAAAATGCAGAAGAAAGGCAATCCTGAAAAAATAAAGATCTGTCACAGTGTTCTTCCAAATAGCAAGCAATGCAATCAGGCGTATATTCTATATAGGCTTAATCCATACCAAGGCTAGGTTGGATGCAATTGTTAACATAATTTTCCCATATCTCTGATAAGCTAATGTATGTTACTGCAACAAAGGAAATGACTTAATCCAAGTTTGACCTAACGTTAAATTATGTCTGTTAAAATAAAGCTGTAAGTCTACGAATGTGCCCTCACGTAATATGTAATATTACAGTATACTCTGGCTCAATAAATTTTAACTTGCAACAAGTTGTAGAGAAATCTGTTTTTGCTATTGTCTAAATTGCCATTTCTGGGTGATTTCATTCCAGACAACACTGTAACATTGTGCATATGTTGGCCAATGTCTATCAATATGTTGAGTATATCAAATCACACCGAATGCCCCAACAAGCATTGCTGGATAGGCTTAAGAGCTGAGACCTTTTTCTCACTGTTTGGTCTCCCCCAGTTCAAAAGTCTCTCCTGCGCCCCTGATATGGGGTTCATGTTGTAGACCAACCTGTACAAGAAGCAGTATATTGAACACCATAGTTTATCAGAGAAAAATGAAATATAAAAAATGGTATAAAACATAAATTTATGCCGGTTTGCCAATGTTCTAAGCTGACTGGACAGTGCCAGTTTACGTCATGATGAATAGCTTTTTTCACTTTTAAAGCTAATATGTTCACCATTAAATTTTATTGCGACTCACAAGGAATTTTCCCTCATTATCACTACCAATACTGCATGAGCTACCACTTCAAGTTTTTTTTTTTTTTTTTTTTAAAAAAACGTCTTGTCATCTATATTAGACCGTAACGCCCACTAAATTATAAAGCGGTCGAACACGCCGTGGAGTCAGTTCGGAGTCAGGTCGGATGAGACGCGGTGAGAAACACTGCCAGCTACAGACATGGTAAGCGGCGCATTTCCATCACGTAAGGCTTTTGCCTTTTCAGAACTGTACAGTACGCAGCTCCGGGCAACTTAAAAAGCTTTTTGTCTGTTACCAGGGGCGTCACGCATGCCCCGTTTTTATGAAGGACCACATCTAGACTATAGCTCAGCCTAAATGAAAAACGCGTAAAGATTTTAGAAATCAAATGCCTTACTAAATAATTAAGAACATACAGTATATATCTTCACCGATTTAAAATCGCCAACAGTGTGAACAGAGTTGTGCATTTGAAAAGGTGTTGAAACTACTCGTGATACTTAAAATAACATATTTCTCCATGTATTACATGTTTCCAAAAACAAATTCGCAGAATTTCTAGTTCAATAGCTTGATGGATGGTGAACTGATTCCCGTAGCTGTGGGCTGAGGTTAACTTGTAGCACAACGTTTCAATGTGAATCTAACAAATAACTTGCATATACAGCTGTCGGCCTATATTCCAATCACACCAGTACGTGTTAGTGTTAGTTAGGTCTTAAGCGGCACATGGACAAATGTTTCAGATACTTACTACGTCGTAAGATACTTACAGATACTTACTACGTAACAAGGGTAGGCCAAAAGTCCGACTTTTAGACGATGTCATTTTATTTTAATGTTTAGTCCACATGGCACCTTGTAAAAACAACAGGTGATATTGTGATGCCAGCAACCACAGTAAAGTTGCCTCACATTCCACTTTCGGTTTTACGGCTTTAATATCTTTTAACAAAAGTAAACTATGCGCACCCCTTGGGTTTTCAGGTTATATCTGTAATAGTTGTTATATATATATATATATATATATATATATATATATATGCGCAATGGGGCAATACATGAATGGGTTAATGAGATGCGCGTGTCATGCAGTCTGCTTTGAACAGTTGATCCTGGGGGACAACTTTCAGACTTTCAGGTTATCTGTTTCTGTAATAGTTATTTATAGTAATGTTGGATCCGTATAATCAGAGACGTAGGTTTTATATTAACATGGGCGGGGGGTTAATCGGGGTCAGGGGTGTGACGTCGCATCACCTTATAAAGCGATTCTGTAGTCGCGCTCTATACAGTTCGTTTTTTCCCATAAACTATTGCTGTTATAGTTACAATATAGAAAGTGAAAATAATCTTTGAATTTTACTGTGTTTCATCTTCACCGATACGGTAATTTACGTGCGTTAAGTCCCGCATTACGTACGCTGAATTTGCGGAAATTAAAATTTTACATAATTTGCGATATTCCGCCACGAATGTCAAGCAATCATCCTAACTTTCCGGAAAGAAATACAGCACACATATTTATGAACTAAATGGTTCTGAGTTTCTGATAAATGGGGAACTTGCTTTGTGGTGTTTCCCAAATAAATGCCAGATCTGGCCTCGTTTTTTTGTTTATTTTTATGCCCTAAAAGCTACGGAGCCCCTAAGGTACGGAGCCCCTAAGGTGACAAGGGAGCAGAAAAAAAACGGCAGAAGAAAAAAAAAAGTAATGTTTTGCGTTATAACCCAAAACTTTTGCGATATTACCCAAAACCTTTGCGTTATAACCCAAAACTTTTGCGATATAACCCAAAACCTTTGCGTTATAACTCAAAACTTTTTCGATATAACCCAAAACTTTTCCGTAGTAATGCAACAATACGATCAGGTGACTAGCGTACTTTTGGTCATTCGAGTGCAACTTCCAAAGCCGCAGTTTGCATGTGGTTGATCCCCGCTTCGCTTATTAATCTAATTTAACGGTTAAAAAAACTTGAGTTCAGTGTGGTAAGATTTGATTGTTTAATTCATAATTAGTAATTTGTAAAGCAAGCCTTGGTAATGTACGTTTCAGTAACATTGCTAATTAATGCTAATCTGATGAGGTTGATTTAAGCCTAAAGAATTGTTCGTTTTTTGTTGTTGTTTCATGTTTATAATAAATTAATATAAATCAAATGCTTTTTTCTCACATGAAGTCCATTTATTCTGCATTTTGCATACATCCATCGATAACCATGCATGAAGCTGCCCAGAGTGCAGAAGCTGCTCACAAATAAAGTTAATTACATCACCCAAGTCGGAGTAGTTTTTCCGTTGGAATAATACCCTTTCACATAAAATTCTATTAATCTGCCTCAGACTTATGTGAACATCATGCCTAGATCCGAGAACAAACTGAATGTCTATATATTGTAGACCAAGATCAAAGTAAAATTCGATTAAACGCTCCATGTTTTCCTATCAATTATGTTCCTTACACTGACTGATTACTCATATTTCCACTTCAAAGTCACAACAGTTTTACCTTATGTCGCAAAAGTTTTGAGTTATAACGCAAAGGTTTTGGGTTATAACGCAAAGGTTTTGGGTTATATCGCAATGGTTTTGGGTTATAATGCAAAGGTTTTGGGTTATAACTTAAAGGTTTTGGGTTATATCGCAATGGTTTTGGGTTATAATGCAAAGGTTTCGGGTTATATGGCAAAAGTTTTGGGTTATAACGCAAAGGTTTTAGGGTATATTGCAAAAGTTTACAACGCAAAACATGACTTTTTTTTTTTTTCCTTCTGCCGTTTTTTTCTGCTCCCTTGTCACCTTAGGGGCTCCGTAAAAAGCAAACACAGTGGGATGAGAATTGTGACTGCTGCGTTATCAGCGTTAGGATTTGTACTGTGCTGTTGCAGTACAAACCAAGCTAGCTGCAGTTTGCGCAATCAAATAAGATATTTATGAAACTTAATCGACGTGAGACGATTAGATTCCACCGTTTCACATACCCTTTTATTGGTTAACTGTTGGTTATGATAGGATATAGGTTTTCGATGAATTAAGATTACATACAAAGCCGCACCGTGCTTCTGCGCTCACTGTCTCTTTACTCGCGTGAATGAAAGTGAGCGTCTGCCTACCGGACTGGGAGTTGAGAATAAACCGTTATAACGGAGGGTAGGGGGGATCTCCAAATACAAACTGTGAGGAAAAAAAACGTTAAATTATGTAATGAGATATATTAATCGTATGTGTTTTTTTTTTTTTTGTAAACCAGACATTACATGTGATATTACTGAGGGGGATGACCCCCCCATCATAACATTGAGGGAGAAGTGTCCCTCCCGCCCTCTAAATCTACGCCTATGAGTATAATAATGCAATGGGACAATATGTTAGGATCTGTCTGTCGTGTTCCCGTATGGCCACCAGAGGCCAGTGCTGGCCATTCCATTCCCTTCCGTTTATGCCTATTGATATCACCTGCCTCTCATTTGCCCTTCGTTAATCCAGGTATATTAGTGTCTGTTTGTCTTGTGCTCCCCAATCCGTCATCGTCGTCATTACGTCATTCCCTGTGTGAGTGTTTCCTGTATTTCAGTGTTGGTCTACCTTCCTGCTTAGGGTCCCAATAGCATCTGGCTGCATAACACTGGGCGACTCCACTAGGAGGACGTCCACTCCCAGCCTGGACAGACAATATATTTACCAACAAATGGTGGAAGGGCAACTTGCACCCTTTGTTTTGTAAATGCAAGCCAGGAGACACGTCTTCTACTTAAATCCATATTCAAAAGTTCATCTAGCAGTGTGTTCTATGGACACATATAGTTCGCGGGTTGGGACGCCTGCCTTTACACAGACATGAACTTTAATGACATTTCATTCTTAATACATAGGCTTTTATATGGAGTTGACCCACCCTTTGCAGCTATAAAAGCTTTATTTCCTCTGGGAAGGCTGTCAACAAGGTTTAGGAGTGTGTTTATGGGAATTTTTTACCATTCTTCCAGGAGAGCATTTGTGAGGTCAGGCACTGATGTTGGACGAGAAGCCCTGACTCACAGTCTCCATGCTAATTCATTCCAAAGGTGTTCTATCGGGTTGGGGTCAGGGCTCTGTGCGGGCCAGTCATGTTCCTCCACACCAGACTCGCTCATCCATGTCCTTATGGACCTTGGTTTGTGCACTGGTGCACAGTCATGTTGGAACACGAAGGGGCCATCCCCAAACTGTTCCCACAAAGTTGTGAGCATGAAGTTCTCCAAAATAGCTACAAATGCTGCCCTTTAGTTCATTGGAATTAAGCAGCCAAGCCCAACCCCTGAGAAACAACCCCGCACCATAATCCCCCCTCCATCAAACTTTACATTTGGCAATGTTCTGGCAACGGCCAAGCCCAGATTCGTCCATCAGATTGCCAGACAGAGAAGCGTGATTCGTCACTCCAGAGAACACATCTCCACTGCTCTAGAGTCCAGTGGCAGTGTGCTTTACACCACTGTATCCAAGGCTTTGTGTTGCACTTGGTGATGTAAGGCTTGGATGCAGCTGCTTGACCACGGAAACCCATTCCATGAAGTTCTCTATGCAATGCTCTTGAGCTACTCTGAAGGCCACAAGAATTTTGGAGCTCTGTAGCTATTGCCTCCGCAGACAGTTGGCGACTTCTGCACACTGTGCGCCTCAGCATGCGTTGTCCCCGCTCAGTGATTTTACCTGGCCTACCACTTCATGGCTGAGTTGCTGTTGTTCCCAATTGCTTCCACTTTCTTATACTACTAACATTTGACCATGGAATATTTAGTAGCGAGGAAATTTCACAAATGGTCTTATTGCACAGTTGGCATCCTGTCACGGTACAGTGAATTCACTGAGCTCCTGAGAGCGACCCATTCTTTCGTAAACCAATTCTGTTTGTAGAAGCAGTCTGCATGCCTAGGTGCTTGATTTTATACACCTGTGGCTATGGAAGTGATTGGAACACCCGAATTCAATGATTTGGAGGGGTATCCAATACTTTTACAATATAGTGTATCTTAAGTAGAAAAACAGCAACTGGTAACTGTGATTTTGGTTATCCGAAAATATTTGATATAATAAATACAATCTGTGTAAATGTATTACTGAGATGTAAAAGTTATAAGACAAAGTTTGTGTCCAGTTATAATTAGCCTAACGTGACATAAAAACATCCTAAAAGTAAGAACGAAATAATGTTGGTTTGACATATAGTCTCAAATAATGCCACTGTGCACTTTGCACGTAACCACTTCATGTGCTGGTTGTGAAAAAGATTGCGGTTCAAATATATAAAAGACGGTCGAAATTTTAGACGTTTGCGGATGTGTGTGTTTTTGCGTGAGTACTTAATTCAATAGTTTATGTTCGATATAATAAATACAAATATTTGATCAGTGCTTGTACCAATCTATGTAAATTTATTATTGAGTTGTAAAAGTTACCGCTGTAAGACGCTTTATGCGTGCCGTTATAATTACCCTGACGTGACACTTACTGTATTTTATCTTTTAAGCTGTACCGTATGAAAGTACACGCATATAAAAATATTTGTGGGGGTCGCAGATGGTTCCGTGTTATCCGCGGTTTCGGATATCTGCAGTACTTTCATCTAACGGAGCAGTATTTTTCACAGGTAGCACATGAAGTATTTGGAAAATGCACTGTGGCATCTCAAAACACCACACGCAAATGTACATATATTCAGAAACACGTCTTTCTTTTGCAGAGGTGGTGATTTCGGGATAAAGAGTCACAGTCACAGAGTACTGAACTGGTTGGTTGAAACAAAATCTGTACTCTCTCGACCTGAAATCTCCACCTCTGCTATTTTGTACCAACTGATATCTCGACCAGGGTTGTCAGCTTTGGTCAGCTGACTGGCGTCAGATTTTCAATTAAAGACAAGGCTGCACACGCATTTACACATATGCATGAGTTTTATTACCTTATAAATAGTCCTAGCTATTTAGAAGCTTTTACACAAATTGTGATAAGGCTCGAACCGCAAAAAATAGATGTACATCGTTGTCTGTGTACTGGACATCAAATTCAGTCATTAAGAACCGTACCCTTTCTTTTGTTAAAAGGTATTAAAGACGGAAAACTGAGTATCGAATACGCGGCTAAATTCACCGCTATGTGGTTGCACAGCTAGCTTAGCGCGCGCTGTTTTAAATTGGACGCAACCAAAATTAAACCAATTATTGTTGGTACATACTAATAGTGGATATGGAGAGAGCTGGAATACGATACTTTTAATCTAGGCACTGGTTTAAGAAATAACATGAAAATAATCTGTGCTGCGTGATACAAAATTAATACAATAAATAAATCTCTATGGGTATGACTGCTCGGTCTCTTAAATGAGGTTTTTGCATAAAATGTGCAACATTTGCTTGTGTTCCAGCTGCAGCTGCTTCAGGTCATGGTGATCATCGGATACGGCAGGTACATGGCGGCACTCGTCCTCACCTACGAGTACAGAGAGCCGGCCAGCGGGCGCAAGCTCACGTGCGAACGTTGTCCCCCGGGGACGCACATGGTGCAGCACTGCAGCGCCACCAAGCGGACGCAGTGCGCCCCCTGCCCGCCGCAGCACTACACGCAGGAGTGGAACTACCTGCGGCGGTGCCTGTACTGCCGCCAGCTGTGCGGGGATGGCCAGGTGGTATCGGAAGCGTGCTCTGCCTCCCAGAACACCATATGCCAGTGCAAGCTGGGTTACTTCATGCAGGACGACTTCTGCAGGCAGCATACCAAGTGTCGCCCTGGGTATGGAGTCAAAGTAAAAGGTAATGTCATACTGACGGTATGGAGTCAAAGTAAAAGGTAATGTCATACTGACGGTATGGAGTCAAAGTAAAAAGTAATGTCATACTGACGGTATGGAGTCAAAGTAAAAGGTAATGTCATACTGATGGTATGGGGTTGAAGCCTGTACGTATGCCTTCATAATAAAGTAAATATATTTCAGCAAGTGTTAATCTCCGGGTATAGCATCCTGAATAGTGTGATTGTTGAAACCTGTACAGGGACTGCTGAAGTCGACACAGTGTGTGAGAAGTGTCCGCTGGGGTCGTACTCCCCTGGCGGCGTGTCAGAAGTGGTCTGCCGGAACCACACAGACTGCAAGTCACTGCGCCTGCAGACTGTCCTGAAAGGGGGCGCGTGGCATGACAGCCTCTGTGCTTCCTGTGACAGCCTCAGAGCTGGGGGTGAGTGCAGTGTGGGATTGTGGAAAATAAATACCACATTATCGTTATCAAAATAAACCTTCATTAAATCATTAAATAGCCTATGTATTAAATATGCATTTGATTACTTTATATTTTCATCTGTGTGTGTTTATATAGCAGATACTGAACTAATTTCTTTTAATTCATTCACATTGAGGTGGACTTGAACTTCTCCGAGGAATCCTTCTGGATTTCTTCAGTTATCACAAAATGAGCAAGAGAAAATTGGAAAGATTTGTGAGGCAGTCCCTTTACCCTCGAAAGCAACATGACAGTTTTCAGAATGCGAGACTGCAAGAGTACCTTACCATGTGGGTTAAGGTGGCTGAGGTGGAGAAGCTAAAGAAGCTACTAAAGATGTTGAGAAGATGTGATCTTCACGATGCAGCAGAAAAACTGAAGAAAAAACACTCTAAAGTCACCGATATGACTTTATGTGATGATTCTATGAACTGAAATGATAGTTGTTTTCTTAAGTTGTTACGGGCCGTAAGGAAAGTACGTACCGTAAGTTTCGGGTACCAACCAAACCTAAAAACCAGGAACAAAGCAGAACGAGCTAACAGGCGAGAAGCGAGCAGACGAAGTGACGAAGCGGCAGCTTCTTCTGTCAACGAACCGGAAACTGCTCCGAAGGCAAGGGAGGCGGGGCCAGGGCCAGAAGGTGGAGTCGAGGGAGCGGTTGACGAATGTGCGAGTGGGCAGGACGTCCGAAGAACCTGTAGGCATCCTCCCGAACTTACGGCACGTTACACTTACGGCACATACCCGAAACTTACAGCACGTATCTCCCTTACGGCATGTACTTTCCTTAAGGCCCGTAACAAAGTTTAATAAATGAATACCATCTGTGTAAAACTGGCTGATGAATTTTCCAATTACTGCTCTGTAGACTGTGAATCTACTGTGTTTGCTTTAATCTAATGACACATTGTATTAACATGGACTACAATGGAAAGTCCTTTAAAATACAGTTCATTTAATTCAATTTCATTTGTAAAGACTAGAGAGAATATCAAAATAAATACTAACACATAATCAGCTGTCTTCCATATTGCTACCTACAGTACCAGTCAAAAGTTTGGACACACCAAAATGCTTACAAAGGAGATTGAGTGTGTTGGATCACATGACCTGCACTGTCAGAGAAAAGGGTACAACCCTGGTACGGTTTTGAACCCTAAGGTACAAGCAGCATTAATGTACCCCTCCAATTATGCCTGTACCTACCATTGAGGACACCAAGGTCAAGTCCTCAGTATTTTTTCTGCAACTCCAATAACCATGATCCATTACGGGACACCTAGGAAGGGCTAACAGTTTGGACCTCGATGTTGTAAAAATCCTACCTACAGCCCGGTCTCCATTGGTACAAAAAAGTTCCCCAGAGTCAATTTCAGTACCTTAAAAGGTACATTACCTACAGCTAAAGCACATTTGGCAGACCCTTGAGGGTACAGCCCCAGTAACAAATAATTGTACCCTCAAAGGTATATATTGGTACTTTTTTTCTGACAGTGTGACCACCTGACATAAACACAGTAGAGATGGTTTTGCAGGAGTTTGACCAGAGAGTGAAGGAAAATGGGTCAATATGTTTGACCCCCTTAAGAACAGCTGGAAAAGCATCCCAGGAGGCCACCTCATGAAGCAGGCATAGAGGAGAAAGTAGGGCCAGCTAGACCCTGGAGCAATTGAGGTTAAAGACCTTGCTCAAGGGTCCAATGGTGGGATCACTACCATTCTAGGGATTTGAACAAGCAACTTTCTGAGTCCCAACCCACAGAGCAGCCCTCCCACAAAAAAAATAAAATAAATGATTTAGTACGTTTTTTGGTCAGCGCATAATTCTATATATGTTATTTCATAGCATTCATGTCTTAACAATTATTCTAAAATGCAGAAAATAGTACCTTAACTATTGGTAAGTGTATCCACACTTTTGACTGGAGCGCTATGTGAGATTCTAAAATAATCCTATAAGATTTTGTACCTGCCAGATAAGGTACAAAAATATAATACCTTATCTGGTGAAGTTCATGTTTTTAAAATATATTCTCATATCAAATCTAATGACTGCAACACACTCCAAAAAATTGGGACAGTTGAGTGTTTACCGCTGTGTAATGCTGCCATTTCTTCTATTGGCACTTATTAAGCGTTTTGGCACTGAAAGCAAGTCTAACAAGTGAATATTTCCCGCATTCATTTATTATGTTGGTCTTTTCCTCTTTAGCCCAGAGAATACAATAGCTGCTCTTTGACGTGTTGACTCATCGGACAACAAAACATGATTCCACTGTATGGCTTCTGCTTTGTACAGTAAAACCGTAACTCACATCTGTGGATCAGCAGCAAATGGTGTTGGCTAACTAAGGTTTACCAAGTATTCCTGAGCCCACGCCTTGACACCAATTATAGATGCATGACCGATTTTAATACAGTGATGACTGAGGGATTGGAGATGAAGTCATTCATAAGTAGTTTTTGGCGTTGCCTTTTACATGCATTTAACTGGATGCCTTCACTCTTTTAATTACATTATGGCCAAAATTCTGCTGATTTCATGTTGGTGAACGTTGTTCTTAAAGTGCTGGATTATTCTGTGCCACGTTTCTTGACATACTCTTGCCAGATTGGTGAGTCAATCAATCCATCCTTCCTCTTGAAAGACTAGGCCTTTTTGGAGACTACTTATACACTGTAACATGATTGTCTCACCTGTTTCACATCACTTGTTTCACATCACCTCGTTATTTGAACTTGCCGCTTTGTCATTAGTCCTACACTGACGCATCCAAACTTTTTTGGCATATGTTCCACGCATCAGTTTCAGAAGAAACGTGTATCTTCACAAAACAATGCAGACATTTAGGTAAAACATGAAATACTTTATACTGTTTTTGATTTTCAATGCAAGTCAATTTAAACTTACAAGGTTGACTTTTATATTTCTGTTAGCATTGTCCTTAAAATTGGGTTGAGAATAAAATGTAAAATGGGTAAAATAATGTAAAATGTCAAATAAATGGTACCTTATTAACAGTGCCCAGATTTGTTTTGTGATCAGTGAATTATGTCCTGTTCACACATGGCTTTTTAAAATTGGTTAGTTTAACCTAATAATGTAGTGCTATAGGTAATAGTGCTTAAGTTTTTTTGTGCCAGAAATGTCTTGGATTTAATTCATTGGATTTACTATCAGGAGAACTGTATATATGTTTAGGTGTTTCGGTTTTAGTGCTTAAGTTTTTGGTTTAAAAATGTGATGTAAAACACACTAAAATATTGTATGTAAAAGTTTTATTTCACTGAAAAAGTAGTATTAAATGTGCTCATTTGGTCACACTTTACTTGAGGGGACATAAATAAGTATATGCTTACTTAATGTATTAATTAACCAATAACTAAGTGTTTGTTATGTACTGATCCCATGCTTGTTCATCATCAATAAATCATGACAGTTCACCTATTCCATTCAGGCACTGTCTTAATTAACAGTTAATTAATCGGTTAATAATGGTAAGACTTTACTTGGGACAAAAATGACTTATTAACTCATTTACTACTCAAGAACAAACTAATGAACTAAAATAAGTTTCCCCATGAAATACATGACCTGTCATGATTGATTGGAGCGGCCAAATTGCCTATAGGTGTACTTATGTGGTGTGTGAGTGTGTGTGTGTATATGTGTGTGTGAGTGTGTGTGAGTGTGTGCCCTGCAGTGGGTTAGGGCCCCATCCTGGGTTGTTCCCTGCCTTTTTCATGTAGTCACCATTGTGACGACCTTGAGTGTGGGTTGTGGATTGGTCATCAAGCGTTGGCAATTTTCATTGTCATGACTCTCAGCCAGTTACACCTGATGCGTGTTAAGGCTGTAGCTGATTTGTTCCCTTTTAAAATGGCTAGATTTTGGGGAAAATGGGGCTCGTGCTCAGGCGCCTGTTGCACGTTGCCATTTGTTTTGCATTTGTTATGGTTTTGTTTTGTATTTGATTTTCGTTTTCTGTATTTATTCTACACTACATGAACATTGCATGCCTGCACTACTGACACTACTGACTACTGACAACCATGCGTTATATATGTTGTGTAGCATTCTTTTTTCTTTTATTCTTATTAAATTCTTTAATTATCTAGTAAGCTTGGGTCCCGTGTCTTCTCTTGGATTTTCTTTTTTTTTCCCCTTTTTGTTACGGTTTTGAGCCAGATCGTAACACTATGATGAGCTTTAGGTCACCCACAACCCTGTATGAGCACTTACAGAAGATGGATGTATTACAGAAATGGGTGGACATCTGGTGGATAAGGGCAGGAATGAGTAGGCAGGGGATTTTCAGACAGTGTTCAAAATGAGCTCAGCTTTGAGATCATCACCCTTTAACTTTATTCGACTCTTTCTGTTATCAAGATTTAACTTAGTATGTACAGCGTTTCAGGAACCTGGGTGTCTTGCTCAGATGAAGGGTATTCAATTGTTCCACACACCATCACAGCTTTGTTTAGTTTGTGACAGTTCCTGTCACTGATATCAGTTGATTTCTTTTAAAAACCTGCCCAGGGCAAGAAGGAGGGACAGGAGGAAAAAAAGGGGATTTTATCTTGGTCAGGACAGGTGTGACAGAGAGGAACAAAAGATGTTTATGTGCCATCAAGGATGTAACCCAGAAACTCCTGTCCTGACTCACCCTCACGGGATGAAGGAATTCCCCTTACATTCATTTACTTGCTGTGTTATACTCACAGTCTCATTCCTGGTGCTCCGTTGTTTTCACTGAGATGTTTGAAAATGAAACAGTCGTTTCAAAAGGATGACAGAGAGGCATCAGGGTGAAACCGAAACAATGATGCGTGTATCTCAAAAAGCTCTTATGCTGAGTAAAAAATGACTCATAGTCACCCAAGGGAGAGACGCTGTTACGGAAATATCAGCAAACAATAATTGAAATGTATAGGTCTGTTTTTTTTCAGCGAGGGGTGGGACAAATCAATTCAAATTAAATATTGGGTGTTACATGTGCCCCTGTCCTGGGTTCCTATGTCCCTGGTTACAAGAAAATATCATTGGGGGTAACTGACCACTATTTGAAAAACAGCAGAATTTATGTACTCCATAAGGTTCACTGATGAAATACTGTATCTGGGACCGATTTAAAGTAATATCCAAGTTCTTGGGCCAAGTTTGGGGGTGCGAGGGTGGCGGGGCTAAGTCAAAATCGCGATTAATTGCCAAGACCAGCATTGCATATGTTCTGCTTTGGCACCTTGCGCATCTGTGTAGACGGATTGTTTGGTACCCTATACTTAGACAAAAACATAGGTTATGTGTGCATCAGATACATGCACTAACACATAAGATAAGCAAGACGCAGATGGATTATGGCTTGCCATAAATATGGTCCTTTGTAGCAAATTTTACACAAATTATCACATAAAAATATTTGAGAGAGATATGCACAATTATGTGACATATTTGCACAACAACAAGAACTCATAACCTTTAACTATTTATTCAATATCAATATCATTTTGTCCAAAAAAAATCTGTTTAAATGAAGCAATGTAAAAGTGTGTGACTGAGCTAGCCAAAATGGATGAAGTGCTGCCTGTTTTAAAAACAGTGGAACTTTGCTATGGAGTGACAGCGCCCCTGGTGGTAACTGGTTGACAGTACAAGATGATTCTCATAAACTGAAGCTTCACAACAGTGCAGTATTGTACCCAAAAATGCACTTGTGTGCAACTATGGGCGTCACTAGACCCCTTTATCTGGGGCATGTGCTTTATGTCTAGCAAAGCCCCTGTGTGCATTAAAACATGTATTTGTACTTAACTTGTACTTAATGTAACAATGCTCAAAGCATTTCTTCCCCTCCACCTTCTACTACTACTGTGATATGCATACAATTCTATACTTACAAATTTGTGTGTCTGTGTGTGTGCATATAATGTATGTACACACTCACACACACACACACACACACACACACACACACACACACACACACACACACGCACCTACAGTCATAATGTATTTGGTCTCTCTATGTTAATTTCTCTTAATCCCTCTTTCCACGACTACAGATCGGCACGCCTGATGTAAATTCTAATTACCTGGTGTGAATGGATGTAATTGCTACAGTAATTGGTAGTTGGCCGTCATGCCGACTTCATTCCGCCAGGTGTCGCCGTTCTCCCCATTACAGCCGTCGTCTGTGAGGAGGGGCGCAGCGCAGCGCAGCGAATCTCGGCTCCGCTCGGTTCGGCTTAATGAGGCTGTGCGGCTCTTCCGGCGGCTAGGTCTGCTAGATGGGCCCACTGTTTTCCACAACGATAGCGCGACTCTTTCGGTTTTTAACTATATATTTTTAAATATATATGCGCTTATTCCATTTCTTATTGGGTGCCTGAAGAAGAGAGAAAATGCGCCGAGAAAGTGGCTTAGACGCGGCGCCTCCGAGGGAGAGTGTATGAGCAGCACCTGATGTGTAACGAGAATCTGTACGGGCAGAGTTACTTTTTGGCGTAAACAGTTACTTCTTGGTGTACATAATTACTTTTTGGCGTAGATTGTTACGTTTTGGTGTAAATAGTTACTTGTCGAGCTCGGGTTTCTCCTGCTTCCCCCATCAACAAGTCGGCGGTCATGAGCGAGGGGGTGTCCGATGTTCCTGCGGATCTGCTCGGTAAGATCAGGAGCCTTTACGCCGTTACATGTGAAATGTTAATCGGGGGTGTGTGTCTGTCGAATAATAGAACAAATATCAAAAGAAATGATTAAGTAACCCTGCATGGTTCATCCGAGTTTGTGTTGATACTTTTAAACGGGTCAAACAAATTCCTGAAAATCTAGCAACATTAAGACATTTTTTTGTTATAGCCAATGACACATTTGTGAAAAATAAGGTGTCATTAACAGACTTCCATGTAATGTAAGTATAAGCCAAGTATTCAGTAAGCCGAAGAATGCATCAAACCGGTGTCTCGAGCAACCCGGCACTTTACTTAAATTTGCTTTATTCTAGTTACTGCTGACCGACCTGTCTTGTATCCTTAGGGTAGTTAATTTTTCCCCAAGCACATCAAACATTCAAACATAGAAATCACCCCCCCCGCCCTTTTCTTACCAAATACTTGGTATTCACTGTACGTATAATTATAATCCCCCACCCTCCAAATTTACATTCACAGTTGTTTGTTTTGGAGTTCAATAAAATATTTTGCCAACTCACTTATTCTATGTTTAATATTTGTATATTTGTATATGACTTGTCACTTTTTTTAGTTATAGTTTGAAAATTGGTCTCTTACTTTTCTGGGACGTCCATTATTATTATTATTATTAATAATATATTATTATTATATTAGTGTAACTTTGAAAGGGAATATATTCTACTTGATGTAATTTCTGATTTTCTGCTGTGTTGACAAAGAAGGCCAGATTCACTTCATTAACTTGTAGAGCATTAGTTCCTGTCTGCAGTGTCACTGGCGTGTTTCACACACATAGATTGCTTCCCATAGCTCTCAGAGGACAATATAACAGGACATTAGTTTGCATTCATGCAGTCACATGGTGAAGATTCAGCAGGGGTCACCCCTGGGCTCACTATGGAGTCACATGGATGGTCTTCGCTTCAGGACCAGCTGTCCAGAGCTGAGCCTGTGTATGCAGCTGACATCTGCCAAGCATCAGCTGTTAGAGCCTGCAGAGGCCTCAGGAAACGGACCCGGTGATCGTCTCTGCTGGGCTGATCATACATGAGATTAGATCAGAGGTCTCCAACTCTGCTCATGGGGAGCTGCTGTCCAGTAGGTTTTCTATATCACTTGGCTTCCGATGAGCCACACCTGTTCTTAGGTATATACCAGGAACAGGTGTGGCTTATCAGAAGCCAAATAGAATGGAAAACCTACTCCAGGGATGTCAAACTCCAGTCCTGGGGGGGCCGGAGCCCTATGTAGCTTAGCTCTTTCCATGTTTCGCCACAAATGAGTCAGCTGTGTGGTAATTAGCACAAGGAGTTGAATCAGGTGAGGGGAAA